GTACAAGCAGACACACAAACACACACGCGTACACCTGGGACAGCTGGGTCCCTATATATACTGATGGACCCAAGAATCCTATCAACAACAGTGCTGGTGACGGGATCCATATCCACAGATCCAAACCCCAAGCACATTCAGTTCGCCTGCCTGATGGTCAGTCAGTATTCGCTAAGTGCACTTCAGGCCATCAGTGGCAGAAACTCAAACTCCAGGCCAAACACAGTCAACAATATTCTATACGAATATACAAAACTATCGGACCAAGGGCAACAGGTGGAACTGTGTTGGATCCCCTCTCACATAGATATTCATGGAAATGAAAAAGCAGACTCACTGGCGAAGCTAGCTCTAAGCGGATATACAGCCTATTCCTTTTAGTAAACTAGAGATAAAAATCAAAATCAAAGCCTCCATAGCAGAAAGATGGCAAGCCCAATGGGACGCAAGTAAGATCGGCAGATGGCTATTCAAAATTCAACCCAAGGTCCAACAAAACCCAAACTCATACTCAAATGAAAGGGAAATTGAAATTGCTATCTCAAGCCTCAGACTCGGTCACAAAAAGCACTATGACAAGGTTTGTTCATCTTGCAGGCTGAAACCATTGCTCACGCGTTACTAGAGTGTCAAGACCATGCCCCAGCCCAGGCTAGGTTAACATAAGAATTGTAGTTAGATCCGCTATCTCTCATAGATCTCCTAAAGCCAAGAGATGCAATAGCGAAGGCCAAACTAACTCTATTTCTGAGAGATGACAGCTACTCGAACGTATATAAACAGAGCAGCCAAGGATAAAAATGAAATCATATCAATATAAGAAAATAGAAATCATATCAATACAAAAACATAAATTATGTGAATACCAAACTCACAATAGATATGTGCACCCTACTCACACACAGGAGTCCCGAAGAGAGACAGGTCAGCCGAAATTGCTTAGGCAGAAGGCGACCTCTTAAACACCTAATGCAACAACAACAACAACACACGTACATGCACATCGCTATAATAGTGCTATAATCTTGGACGCGACATTAAACCTCGACCAGCACGTGCAAGGGGTGGTATGCCAGATTTACCATTCTCACTCAGACTCGGTTGTGAGCAGACACATATTGTTTTCTTTGAACCAAACTTTCATTAAAGACTTTATTAAACACATTTAATCATTGAGGAAGCAGCAGTTGATCATGCGACGTTTGCAACGTGCTGAACGTGTGTGTGTGTGTGTGTGTGGGGGGGGGGGGGGGGGGGGGGGGGACACCAGAAATGGGCTTCACACTTTGAACCCATGTGGGGAATCGAACCCGGGTCTCGGGCGTGACGAGCGAACGCTTTACCCACTAGGCTACCCCCCACCGCTCCCGTAATTATAGAAATGGCATGAACACATGCATATTAGTGCAAACAAAGGTTTCAACACTTTAGGCCTTTTAATTTATTTTCAAACTAACTCCTCTACCAATTTACCTTTTTACAGTTTCGTAGTTATGTCACGGCTTCGTGTGGAGCACAATTAAGGGAGAAAAGCCTCTCCATATATGAATATTAGACACGTCAATAAGAGTCTACCGTACGATTCCGACCTAATCACAACCACATATCTATCCACATATCTATCCACATATTTATCCACTAGACATATCAAATAGTGAGGACACCAGGTATACGCGAAAACCCGATGTGATGAAGATACTTTCGTCTTGGTGAAATCCACGAGCTAGGGTATGGTGCCGACAAACCAAGGATCACAGCCAGGGCGAATCTGGGATTCGAACCAACGGCAATAGGGTCCTGGCATTACTAAGGGAAGCAACAGCGAATTGCTGCTTCTTAGGAGACTAGACGTCATCGTCCCGCCCTATTCAAAGACAGAAGTTTATTGTTGTGTATCTGAGCTGTTGGTGTGGTTACTACGCTTGAGTTGGTGATCCCGTCATCTGCATAATTAAGTACGTAATTACTTGGATGGGTGAAGTCACGCTGTGTTATGACAGCTTTGGGCATGGGGAGCTGCACTATCAGTCACGGGAATCTATAATTCAAGCTGAGGATTCAACGGAGGGAATGGGTGCATGTGCAGGGTAAAGTGTGGCGTGGTCATTGTGACCTTAACAATAATCCAATCTTCATGTGGAGAAACTTATAACCTAATGAGTTAGGATTGTTATCATCGTGTGTTAAAGTAAAATGAGAAAACATATGGTTGGAATGTTTCCGCACACCAGGCAGGTCAAAACAGAGATTGGCGATTGCCTGAGGTTTCCTTTTTATATTCCAAAATATGACTAAGATATTGTAATCTATTTTCAAAAAACATGAAATAAATATTTATCAATGTAAAGGATTTAAGCTATTCGTTCTTGAATAACCATAATCATAATACAAAAATGCAAATTTGACTCAACTTGGCAATATTTTCTGAATTGTATTTCATTTCTTTCCAGAATCGTATCTACAATATATATCATAATATCATTTCGAAATGAACTTTAATTATTCTTTCTTGATAATGCCATAACCAGATATTATATTTTCGTAATTCTATTACATGCGACTAGCTGCCTTTAATATATGCATCAGTAGGGCATTTAACCGCTCGCTTTCGTGATATGTCAGCGTTGAGCAGCACACCAGTCACATACGATTGAATAAGCGCTCCTGTTTGATAAAGGTTTGGTTTGATTCTATAAGTGTACGCAAGAAAGCCGGGGTGACTATGAACACACTTTGTAATCATTATGCCATTTGTATAGGAAGCAGTTTCTTTTGTTAAACAGGCAAAATGCACTGAGATCAATATTGATTCTTGTGTCAATAGAGCGTTACTTTACAATTCACCTACGAGACAAGAAGGTCGTAACCATTCCTCCCGTCCTAGGTTTTGTCACCAGACATGGTATGTGAAATATTGTATCAGGTAGCAGTTACATATAGATATTTTTTATATAGACTTACATATGTATTACAGCTGGATATTTCAAGATGGTGTTATCGTGATCCTATTTCACGGAATCAATACATCGTGTTATCACGGAAACCTTTCTCGTATCCAGTCCCCATTCGTAGAAACGGGTAATTGTATGAGAATTCGTTCTTTTTCCTAAGGTTTGGTTGTTTTTTAACGCTGCACTCAACAATATTCCAGCTATATGACGGCGGTCTGTAAATAATCGAGTCTGGACCAGACAACCAATTGATTGACATCATGAGCAATTGAGATACGATGACATGCATCAACCAAGTCAGCGAGCCTGACCACCCGATCCCGTTAGTCGCCTTTTACGACAAACATGGGTTGCTGAAGACCTGTTCTACCTCGGATCCTCACGTGTACTTTTTCCAAAGGGATAAGAACATATTGTGCAACGTCGTGTGTCTGTCAACAAAGAGAAGTTGACACAACACTTTTATTGTGTGCATAATAGTCTAAATGCCTGCCAATTTGACTTAAGGAGGATATTCTTAATGCTCCAATATGACGTTCGGGCACATAGAAGGTTCGTAGTCCAGTCCTAATCTTCTCACGTGCCTATTAAAATCATTACGACAACTGTACTTGTTTCTCACACTTAGATCATCCCCTGCAAACGCATGCAGTTACACATATATCCCCAATGAAGTTCGCGTTCAAGATTATTGCACTTATATGGCGACGTGCATGTGTGTGTGTGTGTGTGTGTGCGAACGTGCGTGCTTGCGTGCGTGCGTGCGTGCGTGCGTGCGTGCGTGCGTGCGTGCGTGTGTGTGTGTGTGTGTGTGGTTGTACTAGTCCGGACAGACAAATGCCGGTTTTAAGCCCACTGAGATACCATACCGCAGTTTAGCAAGGACACCCTCCTCAAACACAGTATACTGACTCCCAGCCAACAAGTCCCTGTTTTAGCCCCTTAAAGCCGAGCACCAGCCAGGGAAGCAACACGCATCATCTTTTACCGTATTTAGGTATGATGCGGCCGGGAATAGAACCACCAACCTCCAACTCTCCGGGCAAACGCCCCATCCACAAGATCACGGAAGCGGACCATTCCCCTGTGAAGTAACCTCGTCAGTCCAGGCCGATATTGCAAAGGTGTGATTGCTTTTCATCAGCTTGTCTGGTACAGGGAGGAGGCCGACAACGAAGCCACCTGGAAGCCACAACCTGACCTCCTGACCTTCCGAGTCTTGTGTATGTAAGGTTGTAGTTCAAACACTATAGGAGTTACATAAGCCTCGCACCTTCATAGACAGACCGAAACCAGGCGTATTGAACAGGAGATCATAAATGCATACTTGTTATATATGGCTACAGTCCTCTTCGTTCACATTTTATTTGACTATTACAAGAGTGAATGTTCTACCTTGACTCAATATGTTAAGGTTTATTGTCTATTCATAATGTACACGACAAAAAACATTGTTATAGCCCACTGTTCATTTTAATAATCCAATTGTATTCAATACAGGGCAGAGTGGAACGAGAGTGTTTATGATATGTCAGTGCCTTAAAATGATTCGTGTAATAGAGTATGCAGATATGTATATATGTCAATCCAACCAATTCCATTTTGAAAGGGTTATTCAAATAGACTTGTAAACGCTTATAATTAATTAATATGGTTACATTTCATTCAAAGATACCTCCAATAATCTATATGCCTTTTATGGCAATGTATAACACATAAACGAATCCTTACACTAAAATAGAAATCAGAAACCGAAAACAAAGTATACAAAATATTACATTCGAAACAGAAATACAGAGATGAAATGTGCTGGAACACGTACCCGCGGATTACAATCCAGATATTAAATGTAAAAAACACCCACTTACCTGCCAAATACAACCCCGACATTAAACATTTTTATGTAAAATAAACACTTACCTGCGAAATACGATCCAGATATTAAATATAAAAGAACACTTACCGGCGAAAGACAATCCAGATATTAAATGTAAAAGAACACTTACCGGCGAAAGACAATCCAGATATTAAATGTAAAAGAACACTTACCGGCGAAAGACAATCCAGATATTAAATGGAAAAGAACATTTATCCACAAGCACAAAAAAACAACAGTTGGCCAGACGCCTGTGCACTAACTGCCGGTGCAGTTGTTTTCATGGAGCGTAACGCTCACTGACTTAAAACTTTTCATTATTCATTCCGATTCGGTCAATATGATCACATTCTTCCCGTGGTCTGCCCTTGGATACTGTCGCGTCCCTCGCAACGTCGACGATAAGCAACATTACTTATCAGGCGGTGGGCGCGTTTCCTTTAACTGAGAGTGTTTACCAAAGGCAAAGGGTCCTCACAATCACTCTGGCTGAGCATTAACTTCTAGGTGTATGCAGGGTAATAAAGACACATTGTGGTTTGTACCTTGTCAATTCAGCCATTTCCATGCGTTCGCATACATCTCATTCGGAGGACCGGGCATGGCATTGTGTGGAACACGTTTGCCAACCGATGTTGTTTAGTGCTAAAACCCCACCTCTGATATGGGTATATAATGTTGGGCGATACTTGGATTGTGTGGAGATGGACTCCAGTTGGCCCTGTGTCGTATGATGGTCGTTAGACGTGTGCAATGATAACTATTACCATACTGGGTCATGATGATATGCTACACGTAAATGAGCCGTGATACAACTGGAATACATCAAAGAAATAAATTACCAGTAGGAAGAGGTCAGACCCTCTACAAACTAAACAATATTGTGCATAGACTTGGTCATAATAAGTAACCAGTTTGTGTTTTGAAGTCATTTTATTATGTTTTGCGCTTTCATATGGCCGGATTAAGTCGACTTGCAGAGGTGGGGTCGTTTATTGTTTAACACGCTTAAGACTTAGGTTCGATTTCCCAAATAGGTACATGGTGAAGTCTATCTGGTGTGATATTGCCGGACTTTTTCTAAAAGAGTAGTACTCACGCAACATGCAAAATTTTAAACGCAAGTTCTATGTTCCAATTCCTTAGTTGAAACCTACTCCCTGAAAGAATTTTTTTCTTGATGTGAAACATACAAATACAAATTATCAGTGCAAGAGAATTAACAGTATAGATTATCCGTCGAAACATTACGTTTGGCGTTAAAGGCAACATAGCGCTGAAAGCTATATGAATGACCATTGAAATTCAGTGATGACACCAGGTGTTCGCGATAAGGGTCAGCATGTCCTGCCCTACCGGAAGCACCCGCCATTCACACAATTTGCATAAAAAATGTAAGTATTTACATCCTGACCCTTCGAGGCAGTACTCCTGCCATACGACGGCGGCCTGTAAACAAACCAGACAACAAAGCCTGCAGATGACTGCGCTCACTTGACATACATGAATACCAATACCACGATTTCAAAGAGCATCATACATCTCTTGCTCAGAGGTTGTTTGATCAAAGTTACACAATTCATGACCTCAGTAAAGCTTTCAAACTCTTTTATAGTAGATATAGGGAGGACATTTCCAAATTTGACGCATCAGTGACAAAGAATGATGTCCGATGCAATTCCCTGTTTTGACTTGTACCATATGTTCCCGTGTTTCAGGTGAACAATTGACTTGCCTTTGCATGTGTTTGTGACGGGTACCACCAGTGGGTCAGGATACGTTCACCTTTTCACGAACACCTGGTATCATCGCTAATGGATAAAGATTCATAAACACATGCTCATGGTATAGTTAGAATCGTACAATGGACTTTTCTTTAGTGGATTTCTTAATGTGATTATTTACAGAAAATGAATCAATTGTGAACATATTATAACAATGTGCTGCTTGTTACTGGGAAGAAATCAGCAATGTGATAACGGTTTGAAGGAGTCTTTATTCCTTTTTATCAATGATAGGGTCACAGGTGGCCCATTCGTCTAAGGCGCCGCGATTTGCTGTGTAGAGAAACCTATGATTGTGGGTTCGAATCCAGGTTCGCCCCGATCATGTTTCTAGGCTTTCCTCCCACATTAAGCTGACACGCCGTGATATAACTGGAATACTGTTAAAAGCGGCGTTAAACCCATCTCACTCACAACCTATGATTGTGGGTTCGAATCCAGGTTCGCCCCGATCATGTTTCTAGGTTTGTCAGCACCATACCCGTGCTCGTGGGTTTCACCGAAGTGGTAAACGTCTGAGACCTGCATCACTTCGGGCTTTCCTCCCACATTAAGCTGACACGCCGTGATATAACTGGAATACTCAGGCTGTTAAAAGCGGCGTTAAACCCAACTCACTCACTCGAATCTCAGATTCGTCCTGACTGTTTTTCAGCGTTTGTCCGCACCATATCGGTGCTCATGGATGTCACCAAATTGGAAAACGTCAGAGACCTGCATCACTGCAGGCTTTTCTCCCCTATAAAGCTGACATGCAGGGAATAAAACTGACATATTGGTCAATGCACCGACCGGCTGCTATCGATGACGTATTTGTAAGTGCAATGTCATCAAATGTGACATAAAAAGAAACCTAAAAAGACAGGTTAGATGTCACAAGGTGTTCTTCCTTTCTATTTTCTTATTGGATAACTAATTATATCTTGAAGTAAACAAATAGTCTACTATGACTTTGAAAAACACTTGTAAATACAACCTCTGATTGAAACACAATGGCTGCATCACCGTCCTTTCTTTTCTGCCGGGGGCACGGGTGGCCCAATCGTCTAAGGCGCCGCGATTCGCTGAGCAGAGTTGCGTCCCTTGGGCATGCCAGAAACCTATGATTGTGGGTTCGAATCCAGGTTCGCCCCAATTATGTTTCTAGGTTTGTCAGCACCATACCCGTGCTCGTGGGTTTCACCGAAGTGGTAAACGTCTGAGACCTGCATCACTTCGGGCTTTCCTCCCACATTAAGCTGACACGCCGTGATATAACTGGAATACTGTTAAAAGCGGCCCCAAACTCATCTCACTCACTCACTCCTTTTCTGCCATGGTGAGCCGGCATGGTCCATTAGGAATGTCAACTAATGTCGATGGCAAAACAAATGAAAAACATATCGGGCAGAAAACAAGAAAAATGTAAACGAGATTGTATTGTTTAGGGGACAAGGGAGAAGTGACCCTGAGTCTACTGATGTAACAAAACAATGTTTGAGTGCAAACAAGGACATCACAGCGATGAGTGGCGGTTGCTTAGTTTCGAATCGGAAACCACAACACTGGACTACATACCACAACACTGGACTCCATACCACAACACTGGACTACATACCACAACACTGGACTACATACCACAACACTGGACTACATACCACAACACTGGACTACATACCACAACACTGGACTACATACCACAACACTGGACTCCATACCACAACACTGGACTACATACCACAACACTGGACTACATACCACAACACTGGACTCCATACCACAACACTGGACTCCATACCACAACACTGGACTACATACCACAACACTGGACTACATACCACAACACTGGACTACATACCACAACACTGGACTACATACCACAACACTGGACTCCATACCACAACACTGGACTACATACCACAACACTGGACTACATACCACAACACTGGACTCCATACCACAACACTGGACTCCATACCACAACACTGGACTACATACCACAACACTGGACTACATACCACAACACTGGACTCCATACCACAACACTGGACTACATACCACAACACTGGACTACATACCACAACACTGGACTCCATACCACAACACTGGACTACATACCACAACACTGGACTCCATACCACAACACTGGACTCCATACCACAACACTGGACTACATACCACAACACTGGACTACATACCACAACACTGGACTACATACCACAACACTGGACTCCATACCACAACACTGGACTACATACCACAACACTGGACTACATACCACAACACTGGACTACATACCACAACACTGGACTACATACCACAACACTGGACTCCATACCACAACACTGGACTACATACCACAACACTGGACTACATACCACAACACTGGACTACATACCACAACACTGGACTGCATACCACGACTCTCGTTATATTCGCCACCACAGAATAGTTCGTGTTTCTTTTCTTCATACTGGAATAGTGGTATACATGTTGCGTTTTCAGGTAGAGCTATGTTACTTGTATACGTAACTGCCCTGTTCCAAATTTAGCGCCATGAAATATAACAGATAACATAGCTCTATCTTCCCGAGGCAAGGGAGGTAACTGACTTATATATTCAATCATTTTTATTCTCAATACTGAAAGGCCACAGGTGAGTGAGTGAGTGAGTGAGTGAGTGAGTGAGTGAGTATGGTTTTACGCCGCTTTTAGCAATATTCCAGCAATATCACGGCGGGGAACACCAGAAATGGGCTTCACACATTGTACCCATGTCGGGAATCGAACCCGGGTCTTCGGCGTGACGAGCGAAAGGCCACAGGTCCATAGTACATGTATTACAATGTGTAATCAGAGAGGCTGTACACACACATTACTTTCTAATTGGCATGGCAAGATAATTATATATACATTGATAAGTTACGAACAATATTTGTTCAGTAAATTACGGTTATAACTGAAAGGGACCACTAGTTTTAGTTCGTTTTAACCGTAGTTCGTTACAAGCATATATACTGCATATACACAGCATATGACCGGGGCTAAAACTAAGTTCGTTTTATCCGCCAGTTCGTTATAAGCGTGTTCGTTATAAACGTAGTTTACTGATTTCATCAAAGAAATAAATTTATTTACAATTGGATGACCCAAATAGAAACGTTTAGGTATATCTGTCTCAAGTTATTATTTCTAGTACATACCAATAGAAAGTGAAATTCATCTTCCACTGAATTTGAAATACAATACCTACACAATCTCTTATTTCTTCGTGTATTATTGTGTCTCCCTAGTTCAATCATTAACCTCATAATATGATAATAATCTCTCTTCATAAAACGGGAGTTGAAAGGAAGACTATTCTCATGGGATCTTTCACAATTCTGACACCCCGTGTCGATTACGCACGTCTGCAAAATAGATGTGTTGAAATTACGTGGACAGAAACCCGATGCTCCTAGTTGGTCCCATAAAGGGAGCATTATAATATGTAAATCTGAATAATAGTAATTATTGATGATAAAACAGACTTTTTGTATTCCGTAATGAATATCTGTCATGAAATAAGAAACGCTTCTCTTGTTCATTTTTTATCAAAAGAATGTAAACAATAACATTTCATGAAATCAATGCGTGATTATTATTTTGTGATTCAGTCACGTACACAAACATTTTTATTTTAGAAAACCCAACTTCGTGTCAATATTTATGACAAAAAATCATGTTCCCGTCGATAATGCTGAATACAGGATTGACGTGTATTGAGCATTGTTCCATTGTTTCAAATGAACGTTCAAACAACAATTATAGATACCAGTATCACAGGGCGTACAGATCCACAAACATATTGGAAGTGGAACTTGTATTCTTGTATCACCGAGGCGAGGGCAGGCATATACTCCGTAATGACCGGGGGAATCCAATACATTATTGACAGTCAATCAGCTCTTGAGGGCTGAAGAGCAAAATAATCATTTTCTAAAAAAATAATTGGATGCGTGATAAATACTTAATGATTAGTTGCTCCACTTTATTCCTAACAACTAATTAATGTCGTCCTAAAAGCACACGTATACTATTAAGATATTCCTTGTACCATATGTTCTGGTGTTTTTTTCTGTGAACAATTGACTTACCTTTGCATGTGTTTGTGACGGGTGCCTCCAGTTGGACAGGATACGCTCACCTTTTCGCGAACACCTGGTATCATTACTATTTGATAGTGATTCATAAACACATGCTCATGATAAAGTCGGAATCGTACACTCGACTGCTTTATACAGAGATTTCTATTGGACATGGATAGGGTTTTGTCGCTTTATTTACAACGGATCACACCCAATATGCCCACGTTCAGGTTTTAATCTTGAGACAAGAACAAAACCAAAGTAAGCCTTGTTTATGGGACAGTAGTATGACCACATAATCCAGAGGAGTAAACCGGATATTCGTGTTTTTGAAACTGGTACTGTATAACACCTTTGGGGTTTGGGGGTGCAATTCTGCGTTGAGTCCCTTACGCGTATCATGAACCTATGATTCAATCGTCGTCATTATGTGTCTTGACCGCCTCCGTGGTCTTGTGGTAGAGCGTCCGCCCGGAGAGCGGAAGGTCCGGGGTTCGATCCCCGGCCGCGTCATACCAAAAGACGTTAAAAGATGGAACTTGTTGTTACCCTGTCTGGCGCTCGGCATTAAGGGGCTAAAACAAGGATCGTCGGCACGGAGTCACTCTACCTTGTCTGAGTGGGGTATTCATGTTAAACTGCGGCATGGTATCTCCGTGAACTAGCACTATAAATCGGCATCAGTCCGGACTAGTACAAGCAGCCACATACACACACGTACATGCACGTCGCTATATAAGTGCAATAATCTTAGACGTGACGTTAAACCCAATTTCACCTCACCTCACCATTATGTGTCTTGGTGCTCCATAGTGAAATGAAGGTCCCTCATCACTTCAGGCTTTACCCCCAACAAGCTAACATGCTGTAATATAAGCGATATTCTGTTCAAAGTGGCGTTAAATCACTCCCTCACTCACTCACTCATGGGTACAAGTTTTTGTTGTTCATCCTTAGTTCATCGTAGAAACACACCGACTCTTCAAAACTGGCTTCATTTGTGTATGGGGGATAACTACACTTCTCATAAATGTTGTCCAATACTTTGCAAGATATGACCTTGGCAATCTGGTAATGCTAACCTCATATCACTCTTTTAATAAAAATATTAGACCCTCATACTTAGAGGCACGCTTTGAAGTTTATGGCACTGAATAACATATCAGTGTTTTTGTCATTAACACTGCCGACTCTTTGCTGGTATAAAGATGTTTTTAGTGGGATGCCAATAAGCAGTTGGTAGCCTCAACCATGTCTTCATTTGTTGCTCGTCCATCCCATGTCCATCGCCAGTCTGTGGTACGGAGAACATGTGCATGTATTGTGATGATAACCCAAAGCACTTTTTGGACATGTTTTTTTCAACATGTATTGTCATTATTTTTGTCTTCTTTTCCAGCCATTTAAGGCATACACCTGATCCAACTGTTCATCTGCCTGAAAAAAGAAGTAACACAATTAGGTGACAGCTAATGAAACTTCGTCGTTTGAAAAAAACCATATGTTTTAGTTATTAGGGAAGTAGCATTCTGATGACGAACGTACTGCTATAATCTGTTATTAATATCTGTAAGTTATGTCTGCAAAATTGCAACAATTTTGACCTCTCCAGTAGGAGGGAAATGCTAAGACATATGAGGTCGATATTAATTAATAATTAATTTACCCCAAGAAATATAACGCCTTTTATAATTCAACAATAACACGATTACCATCGTTACCTCAACAAAAAAAACTTTTTTATGCAGGTACCCTTTATTGTATGGCTGTCTGTGACTAAATGACTGGACAAAACAAACCAGTGAATGGTACAATGACACACAATCAACCACCTGACCACCGATATGCTAAGTCGCTTCGTAGGAAATGCACAGATGGTTGGGAAGCAGCTCTAACTTGTAATTCCAACCCGGGTATTCCCTATTTTTCCCATTGGGGAATTCTCATTCATTCCCTCTTGCGTATCCCCATTAGGGTATGTATGACGTAAGCTCTTCCAGAAAACCAATGTTCAACTGACCCACACATAGAGACTTGCAGCCCCATGACTGGCTATCCGCACTTCATCAAGTCTGTACCGACACAGTATACTGTCCACTCTGTCGGCAATGTGCTGTGGTACCACACTGGGATCGAACTCGTGCATGAGTTGAAGTGGATTGTCCCGACCTGTCCGGCTAAGCACTGTCTGGACATCTGCCCAACACTGAAACGACAACGTCCGTCTATCAACAGGAGATGTTACCCATCTCTCAACAAACAACGTCATTCCTCAACCTGCCTAGAAATGTAAGACATTTCTGAGTGTGGCCTTCCTGTTGAATAATCACAGCATACGCTTAACGATTCACGAATACTTGGTATCAACACCATTCGATAGTGATTCATAAACACTTGATATATTGTCCGAATTGTACATAGTTTTAGGATTGTTGAATGGCGTATGTCGCTTTTATTAGTATGGTATGCTGCCTTGTCTATGGAAAATGAAAATGCTAGATGAATAATAAATAACCATCCATCCAATAACATGCAACCGTCTGACTACATATACGATTGTTTTGCTTGATGGTAATATCAGTGTTAATAAACTCTCCCTCACACAACATTCAGATCATACCGTCATAAAGGGTTGCATGTCGTGGAAGCTAAATAATGGTTATATAATAACCAATTAAGCTGAAACCATGGAAACCAGTCCAAAAGGTTCTAATAATCCGAGTTCGAGAAGTACCAGGCCCATTCGTTCCATTCTATAAGTCAGTTTACTTTGGTAGTTCAGATTAGCCAGTTCAGACATTCAGATTCAGACCAGCCTTAAAGTTTTACGGACATTTCGAAGATGTTTCAGTCTGGAAGGATTACATTTGTCAGCCTGAACCAGCTGATGAATAACGAAATACATCGAAAACGTATTTTATACATACTATTTTGTCTCCTGCAAATATGCTCGTTATTATGAGAAATTCACAGAAAAATAGTCATGTCAAACACACAAATAGTCATTACACTCACCAAATAGTCATATTAAACACACAAAATAGTCTTCATAAACACAGGAAATAGTAATACTCAAGTCTTTTATATAATTTGCGGAAGCTTCACCAGGACAACCTGTATCGTGGTGAGAAACATGGAGAATCATTTATAGGAAATCAATGGTTACTTTGATGAAAAGCATCGGCGCATTCAGTCAAGTCTAGATAATGCTGTCATATTGATTTGGCTGTTGATGTTCAAAGTAGGTCTCTAGTTTTGACATCGTCAGTAAATAAAACATGCTGTAACTCTGCAAGCTGCGAGAAATCGATATTGATAGGAAACGGATGTCACTATCAACTATATCCTTGTCACAATAGAGAAAGCGAAACGTGTCAAACTGCAATCATTTTCTGTTTGTCTTCGAACACAAGTAATTAGTTCCCATATTCTTGCAACCGACCCAATAAAAGCAACATTGATTTAGTCATTAAACATTAATGGTAATGCATAAAGAAGCGAGTGTGTTTTTCCAATATGGATTATGTGTCACTAATAAAACTGCTTTCACCATAAGCCTAAACAACAATACATGTATGATTTTCCACGGATACCACAATTTTTGACATACTTCAATTCATGGCAGTTATATCACAATACATGTTCATTATGTCCAACAAGGACAACGGTATGACATCGTGGAGTCAGAACAGTGCGACCTGTGCCAATATCGGAATTCGAATCCCGGTTTCACTCTTATGATGACTCTTGGTTTGATGGAACCATGTTCACCAAATGGAAAACGTCTTCAATCTGCCTCACGTTTGGTTTTATTTCATACTAAGTAGACGCACCAAGATTAAACTGAAATACTGTAAAATGTGTAACAGTTCAAATCGGTGTCAAAGCCAACTTATTCACTTTCTACAGAAACGACAGATATTGCGGTCTTGAAACAATACGACTGATTGCATTTATGGTCATTTGGTGTTAACAAAACTCTTACATAATTTCAATCATGGACCACTGCGCGAGTAGGGATGCCTTTTAGAATTTTACAATTTCATTGTCCTGAATAGTCGCCTTCAGTGAATCAGACACCTGTTTAAAAGTGTGCGATCTGATCAGGGCTTGGTGTCCAGGTAACAATTCTACATGTTAGCGTATCAGCGTGCTTCAGATTGGTACCAGTCAGCGTATCGTAGCCGATACACTTACTGTGTCACAGCCTGTGACAAGCAAATTGAGAAAACGATTCCACCAAACACATGACGTTGACGATTGACCCTGACCAGGGCCCACTTGCACAAAGCGATCTTAGCGCTAAGACTATTGTAAGCCTATGTTAAAGTATGGGAGTTACGATCATCTTAGCGCTAAGATCGCTTTGTGCAAGCGGGCCCAGAATGCGCTGCTTGGGTCTCAGGAGGACCAGATTGTACGGAGTCCAGGAGAAACAGACAATCAAATAACAACCACCTACACATGGCTTCTGGGTGTTAGAGTTCCGGACCATTAGAAAACGACTTCATGCAGATCCTGTTCGAGCTTAACGTCCAAGTATAACCCCACGTTTGACTGATCGTCATAGCCAGAAGCCAAATGTACAAACATTGTATTTAGGCACTAGGGGAAAAAACTATTGTCATGTGATATGATTTCCGACGAATCAGTCTTCATCCTCGGTAGGCGTGGTCGTATCTGGATACGTGCTGCTGAACGTTACATCGACGTCAGTGTCCGCAAGCATAGCGTGTTCGTGGGAAATTCAGTGGTGGTATGGAATGGGGTCACCATTACTGACGGGAGGCCGCCACAAGTCACCCATTACACGTCACCTTGACAACCTACTGACGCCTATTGTACTATGCTGTGCATGCACCGCTGGTCGACGTTTATTCTTCCACGACCACGAATCCGTAGTCGGAATTTCAGTGCGTACGTGCACCACCAGAACATGTATAGATTCCCATCTGTCTCCCCCGGTGAGCCTCTATCTTCCCCCATTGAACCTCTATCTTCCCCACTGAGCCTTTATCGCCCAATTGAGCCTCTATCTCCCCATTGAGCCTCTATCTTCCCCGTTGAGCCTATATCTCCCCCATTGAGCCTCTATCGTCCCCATTGAGCCCCTATCTCCCCCATTGAGCCTCTATCTCCCACCGTTGAGCCTCTATCTCCCAATTCAGCCTCTATCTTCCAATTGAGCCTCTATCTTCCCCCATTGAGCCTCTATCTTCCCCCATTGAGTCTCTATCTTCCCCCATTGAGCCTCTATCTCTCCCACTGAGCCTCTATCTTCCCCATTAGCCTTTATCGCCCAATTGAGCCTCTATCTCCCATTGAGCCTCTATCTCCCCCATTGAGCCTATATTTTCCCCATTGAGCCTCTATCTCCCCCATTGAGCCTCTATCTCCCCCTTTGAGCCTCTATCTTCCCCCACTGAGCCTCTATCTTCCCCCATTGAGCCTCTATCTCCCTCCATTGAGCAGGTGTGGATGAACCTATGAACGGTGCCTTAAGCATCCAGAAGCGTGGTACAGGACAAAAGAATCATTGAGAGTTAACAGTTGCAGTCCATGTCTGTTGAATAGTAGGCGGTTTCCCATTAATAATGGAAAAATAACGTGCATTTTCAGTGCTCGCTGTGTACTTTGATGAATAGATTATCCTCAGTTTCTCTCGAGGACATGCAGACGTGATAATCATGATTTGTCAAATCTTTCACAGATACCATCTTCAGATTACCTACTTTAAATAAATCAGCATAAAAAAATTATGTATCAGGGCCCACTTGCACAAATCGATCCTAGCACTATGACTATCATCAGCCCATGTTAACGTATGGGAGATGTGGTCGTCGTCAGACTAAGATGGCTTTGTGCACGTGGAGCCAGGTGTGTTCTTGCATACCCCTTGCCTTTTGTAATAGTACATAAAGCATTTGATTAAGGACGCTTCGTCATTGTAAATCGTATATTTATTAAGGCAACGATCTCATTTGTCATACCACAGACAGAAAGGAGCGAAAGGATTACACGTTAACGTCCTTTATTTAGCGTTACATCCAATCGGGACCAGACAAACCAATAAGTGATATTTTGAGCAACATACAACGCCGTTGGGCACAGTCACCGAGCCTGATCACCCGATCCATTTTGTTACGTCATTCAAGCATTGGTTGCTGTGGACGCATTTCTAACCAGGAACCCCACTTCCTTGACCTTGAAATTGCATTGCTCTGGAATAATAGAATGTGCCTAATGATTTTGAATATATGTTTTACATCTGAAAGGTATTCGGTAAAGGAAACCAAAGCCTGATAACCCTTCGCTTTCCAACGAAGAAACTATTTCGCATTAGTACAGTTGAATGATAATTTATAAATAAAATAAAGCGACAAAACCCTTTCCATATCCAACAGAATTCTCTGCATATATCATGAGCATGTGTTTATGAATCACTATCAAATAGTAATGAAACAAGGTGTTCGCGAAACGGTGAACGTATCCTGCCCCATCGGTGGCATCCGTCACAAACACATGCAAAGGCAAGTCAATTGTTCACCTGAAAACACACAGGAACTTATTGTACAAGTCAAAATAGGGAATTGCATCGGATAATGTGGTCATTGATGAGTCAAATTTGGAAATGTACTCAAACGTTTTACCATAAAACTTTCTGATAGCTTTACTGAGGCCTTGATCAAACAACTTCTGAGCAAGAGTGAGACGCTCTTTGAAATTCTTGGTAGAAAGAGCATATCCATTGTATCTCAAAAGTTGTGAAATGTAGACACCAAGTGCTGGAGCTGCTGGAATATTGCTCGACATGAAGGAAAAGTTGACTATTGGAAAGTTGAAGTCATCCTTCTTGTCATACACTATTGTGGAAACTGTTTTGCCACTCTGAATCTTTATACAAAGATCTAAATATGAATGAGATGAGGGGGTCTCACTGGTCTCCTTTATTTCTAATTCAGGCGGGTAAATCAGTGGACGGGAATTGGCTATTTGATTGTTTTTTTAACGAAATCAGATCATCGATATACCTGAAGCTCCTTGGCCAAATTAGCTTGTTTGACTTTGCCAATGTCTAGTAACGTCGATAGCATTCTGCAATGACTGCTCCAGAACAGTGTATATACGCTGGCCCAACAACACAACATATTACCGCTAGCGTAATAATTTTTATTACCCGAAGAAGGTCAAGGGCAATTATGTCAACTGCATGTCTTACCCTGGTCAATCTATCTGAGTAGCCCAGCAACATACAAGCAGCTGCCGTCACCTTGGAAACACTGTTCGGGGGTTTCTGATAGCTCCGCATCTCCGAAATAGTTCTCAGATCAATCTCTATTCTCACTTCATGTTTCACTAATGTAAGTTCTCGCAGATGATCTCGTAATTTCTCGGCGACTTGGACTTGGTTCCGGAGACGTTCAGCATGTGGAGATTTCAAAGCGTCTTTAATAGCTTTGTCCAACACGCCTGCATGGCGTCTGCGTAGCCCTTCTCTTAACCCTGCAAACACACGTGACCCAGTCTGTAATACCATGTAACTTAATTATTCAACAACATAACGGTTCGCATTTTCTGTGAATCATTTAATCTTTAAAGTTACCTTTATCCTTTTCTTTGCTAAATTTGTTTTGCAGAATGATTTGTAACACACGTGTAAGTTAATGAATTCTAAAAGTATCTATGTCCCGAAGTTCACCTTCAGGCGGAGGATGTCGATCATGGTATCTGCCAACCATCATCCTATTCTGAATACTGTAAGTTCTACCTCATCATAAGCACGTCAAAGCATCAGCAGTGATGCCTGTTATCGATAAGCAGATCCATACAACCACCTCATTGATTTATTTCGCCGACATTTATTGCAATAATATTTTTACGGAAACAATATATACTACCGGGAAAAGAAAGTACACTCCAATGTTTAATGATGTCTAAAAATAAAACAAACTTGAAGTCATGGTTATTCGATGGGGATGTATTTGATATGGTTATCATGGTTGTGCTGTGCACCTTATGTTGCAGGGGTTTCAGCGACCGTTTTCAGCCTTGTAACGTCTTAATGACGTGTGTAATAATTTGGCCAAATCCAATTTTCAAGTATGTACTTTATTTTGCCAGGCAGTGAATGTGACACTTCAGATAAAATCCATTCTTGTCAGGATAACATATAGAAATACTGTGACGAAAAAATACGCGCAAAAATGGCTTTTGTTCATATCTTAATTATAAGACGTACAAACCTTCTCTTAGTTTGAGGAACTCGAGTTTTCGAACTGCTGTATAATAGGTATCATCGGGAGTCTTGATAAACTTCTGATATAACCCAAGTGCTTCTTCCAGTTTCCCCACATTTTTACCTTGGCAACAGGCAGACAGGTGGCGACTTAGGCGAATCTTGCAATGTGAACGTCACAGACAGTTAAACAAAGCAGTGCAATCAATTTTCAGTGCACCGGAGCATTGAAGAGAGAGAGAGAGAGAGAGAGAGAGAGAGAGAGAGAGAGATTTAACAAAGGTCGATTTTGCATTAAATGTAATAATATTATTTTACATTACTTTAATTGACAATCAATATCGTTTTATGCAAACTAACAACACGGCCTCCTTTGTATATTGTTTTTCATTACCCCTAGCTTGCTGATTAAGTGGTGATGAATATATAATCACACACGTTTTACCTGTAGTCCATTTTGGTTTATTTCTCCGTTGGGAAAGTTTCGATTATGTCTGACAGTTTCAGTTTCCTCATGCCACTGCGGACAAAGGAAATAGGTTCAAAATTCCATAATTCACATTGTTTTACAAACTTCATCAACATAGCTATAAGAACCACAGTATTACCCCAGCAATTATAGAGTTGTTTAATGCAAGACCCCTGAAGCAGGATAAGTGATATAACTGAAACAGTGGACCCATATATATAAATAGACAAGGTACGTCACTCGCCATCTTGGCCGAAGTTGAAGTCGGCTGTATCGTTTAAATTAAATGGAAATGTGTGCATGTCATGTTCACAATACCTCCCCACAGCCCTCCAAATACGACCTGCATGCCACAAACCTTCATTTTTGACAATTTATTACCTATATCGGGTGATTTTATCGAAATATTGGCTCGGTCGCGGCCGTGGGTCACGGAAGTAAACAAATAATCTCCGCGCCCTATGGCGTCGTGTGCTGTGATTGGTCCGCGCTCCAACCATAACAAACACACATTGGGATATTTACCAATCAGAGCGCTCAGGGACATTGAGTGCGGAGATTTGGTATACTTTCGTGACCCACAGCCGCGACTGAGCCAATCACTATCCTGCTTCAGGGGCCTGTGGTTTAATGGTTCATTTGTTTAGTTGACATAGTCTTGTATCTTACTCCGAGTCCCCGCTTGTTGTCAAAGTGGGAGCGCTCCGGCCGGTAGTACTGGTAGCTCCATGAGCTACGAGAAGATGGGATGCCATCCACCAGGATGAAATCCTGGAAAAGAGTGCACACGAGTTGTTCGAAAACTCCTTCTGAGCAAGAGTGTTGAACTATATTAATCTGTGACGTTTGGAGTGTGTGAGTGAGTTGGGTTTAACGCCGTTTTTAACAGTATTCCGGTTATATCACGGCGTGTCAGCTTCATGTGTGAGGAAAGCCCAAAGTGATGCAGGTTTTAGACGTTTACCACTTCGGTGAAACCCACGAGCACGGGTATGGTGCTGACAAATCTATAAACATGATCGGGGCGAACCGGGATTCGAACCCACAATCATAGGTTTCTGGCGTGCCCAAGGGACGCAACTCTGCACAGCGAATCGCGGTGTGAGACGTTCGGTGTCCAGACTAAGTTTTAACTTTCTGCAAAATGAGATATCTTTTTGAATGTTATCGTATGGACCATGATCTTGACCATGTTTGATAACTAATGATTTCAAATGTTTTTTCATAGCGTTTGAAAAAATGAATTCGCCAATTCACCAATAAATTGGTATGCTAACGCCATTGCTATGACGAAGGACTTAAATTTAGTTCTCTCCTTTCACTTATGCTATTGATAATAATAAAAAAAAATAATATATTTTTTTTATAATAATAATAATAATAATAATAATAATAATAATAATAATAATAATAATAATGACGCCATACCGTGAGGACATGTTATTTATATATTGGGCGTATATTCAACAATATCATTACCTCGTTACTTGATGCACCACACCCCATTGTCACTCTAGACTATATCATGGTCGTCAGTTTCCGTGGACATCCAACCCTGTATCATCAATCCCATGAGGTATTCTGTAACATGGGATAGTGACATTATGTTTCATTCGTGAAAGTAGTGACAAAGGCTGTGTGGCTGTGTGGTGCCCGTGTATATTAAAAACTGCTGGTAACCAGGTATAAGTTGAACCAAGTCACAAAAAAATGTTTGAGATAAGGAGGCGGTGCACAGAATTTTGGCAAACATATTTGGGTTGTTATAGGTTACTTGCCACCCGGACAATTGTCCCCCAGACAATTTCCACCCGGAGAATTACCACCCGGACATTTGCCACCCGGATATTTGCCACCTAAGATAGTTGCCACCCGGGACAATTGCCACCTAGGACAATTGCCACCAGGGACAATTGCCACCTAGGACAGTTGCCACCTAGGACAATTCCCACCCGGGACAATTGCCACCAAAGACAATTCCCACCCAGACAATTCCCACCCGGGACAATTGCCACCCGGATGTTTGCCACCTAAGATAGGTGCCACCCGGGACAATTGCCTCCTGGGTCAATTACCAACCATTTGTTCAGTTAATTACACAAAAGTAAGTCACTGTCAAAAGTTCTGAAACTTCACAGTGATAACTCCAAACATCATTTGTGTTTTACACAGCGATATACCTGAAAGTGGGCTTTAATTACATCCTTGTCTGACTTTACAAACACTACTTGGTTATCCAAGTCTGTGAGCAATGCATGTCCATCATGTTGTTCCTGCTTAGAGTGTTTAAGTGGTCGCCTTCTGCCTTAGCAATTTGGGCTGACCTACCCCTCTTTGGGACTAGTGTGTGAGTAGGGTACACATATCTTTTGTTACTTTTTGCATTGATATAAGTTCTGTTCTTGAATTGATAAGACTTCTATATACAGTAAACTATGTTTATAATGAACACGCTTATACCGAACTGACGGATAAAACGAACTGTTTTGGGGTCCCGTTCATTTCTGCTTATAGGCTGTATATGTGCATATAAAGAACTATGGTTATAACGAACTAAAAGCAGTGGTCCCTTTTTGTTTGTTATAACCGTAGTTTACTGTATTCGTATATTGATATGATTTCATTTCATATCCTCGGCTACTCTGTTTATATACGCTCATCATGCCTACACACCTAATATTTACAAATCTTCCTTTCGCTGGGACGAATTGAACAATTCTCCTCCAGTTTGGCTTCAATCCACTATCAAAGTATCAAACAGTTTCCGATATATGTACGTTCAGTAAATCCTCTCAGTAACACTATCACAACATATATGCCATCATGTCATCAAACAATAGTTAGTTCCTGACCAATGTTATTTTAAGTAACTCTGCTCCTAATAGTCATCCCCACCTCTCACTACAAAAGGGTTTTACAGAACCATGAAAACTGCTTACATCTTACTTTTTTTTATGTCACTGTGAACAATTGTAAGACACCTTTCGTTTTATAAAAAGAAAAAAAATGGGTTGGGAATAGTCCTACCAGTGGTAGTAAATGCACTGGGTGGCAGTTGTCCCAGGTTTTAATTGTCCAAGGTGGCAATTGTCCGGGTGGTAATTGACCGGTGGGAATTGTCTGGGTGGCAATTGTCCGAGTGGCAGTTGTCCTCTGCCTGTTATGCAGATGCAGGTCATGGCGATGAAATTGACTACGCTCCCGTGGACACACATCAACAATTGCTATCATGTGCTATTGAATTCGCCACTAGAACGCGCTGTTAGCTGAGACAGGACACGCACATGTCCATAGTACTACTTGTCGCGGACCACCCGTTACCCCTTTCTTCACAATGGTACAACGGACCTAATACATAATCATGCGGGGTTATTTGTCAGGTCACACCTCACTTGCCCTGGCATACCAGTTACCCTTACCACAGGAGTATATTATGTATCCTTTCGTTTTGATGCTGTTTCATATTTAATTCAATGTACATGTACGAATATATGATAAAAGGACACATTTCTTTCATAAGGTTAGTTTGGAAATTTACCTTATTGCCATTGTAAAAACTACATTTAAAAATATTTTAATCATAATAAATATTTAAGTAAAAATTTAAATATATTTGGGATTTAATAAATACATTATTGTATTACATGATACAAACACATTTAATGTACAATAATGATATTTGAAACTATTCGAAATTTTAACTACAGTTTGTGATAAGATCAACTGGACTCATTTAATAATTGTTGATCATATTCTGTATCATAGTTAATATAGTTACACTAACCTGTATTTCTTCTTGTATTCCACAACAGGTGTCGATGTCAGGCCATATAACTGTACTATTATATACACATAAACCCCCGTGAATGCCTGTGAGGCGTACACGTACGTTTCCCCACCCAGGTTTCTTCGTCAGGTATTGTTCTGAAATAAATCACAGTGTCAACGATAACAAGCTGCTTTGTTCAGCTGGTCAACGTGTTGTTAGCTTTAGCGATAGGATAGGGTCATACTATTGAAGCATTTAGTTCGGAGACATTTGCGAGATTACTGAGAAGTTAAACACAGTAAAATATTCACTGGGTGTCACTTTTGATCCTTGAATGTCAACGCATCGGGTTTTAGTGGAACGTCGTTATCCCTTTGGACATTATCCAACGACAACTGTCAATCTTTCAACAGTCAGTTTTCCCTTTGGGTCCAGCAATATTCCTGCAGCTCCAGCCCTCAGTGTCTACATTTCACAATTTTGGATGAACAATCGATCATGCTGTCTGTCTACCAAAATTTCAAAGAGCGTCATGCATCTCTTGGTTACGGGTTGTTTGATCTTCACAGCACCTATTTGAACAAATGACTTGCCTTTGCATGTGTTTGTGACGGGTGCAACCGGTGGTGCAGGATACGCACACCTTTTCGCGAATACATGACATCATCACTTTGATTGTGACACATGCTCATGTCGGAATTTTGGGAGCAATAGTATAAGGTAACGGTAATAACAAAACCATAGATGGAATCAACAAAGCCCTTTTCATTAAAAGAAATATCTGCAAAAGCAGAGTCAATTGAGCGCTTCCGATTACATCTGGAGCACATGTGTATGAAGCAATATCCAACAGGGATGACACCAGGTGTTCGGGAAAATGCACATACTTATGGAATACTGTAAGGGACATTCTCGCGATCTCGACCTTTGGAAACGAGGTAAATATGCCCGAAACACGAGAATGCGAGATCGCGAGAACGCGAGATTTTGGCCAAATCTCGCGTTCTCGCGATCTCGCATTTCGTGTTTTGGGCATATTTACCTCGTTTCCAAAGGTCGAGATCGCGAGAATGCGAGATCGCGAGAATGTCCCTTACAGTATTCCATACATACTTCTTGTCACGATTCATTCGGGTATTGTGAGGAAGCATGAAACCCTCGGGATTCAATGAACCCTCTAAAGGGTATCACGTGGTTACAATGTCCAACCTGTCTGACTGTGTGCCATCTTACCTTGACGGCGTGGAATGGTGTTCTTGCTATCAACCACATGTTTGTGTGGTCCAGACTACATTACTTGTAGATCATATTTACATTTGGCAAAGCATAATATTGCTGACTGCAAATCCAAACCATTCATAATGAGATGTAACATCGAACGTTCACAACAAAACAATCTGATGTGACACCCGATAGGATCTTTACGGTAGCACTCCTCGTGTACTGTAGGTCATATCTCAAGCACCCATGTCTGAGTTAGAGTCGACATAAATGAGGTTTGGAGGGTCACCTAGCTTCACGTGTGTCCCGGATCTTTGACTCATGCTATAAAATACTGATTGGATTATTTACATATCATCGTGCTAAAACTGGAATACGATGATTGCGGCATAACGAAACATTCACTGTCCTTACGGTGACTGTACTACACGTAGGTCATCGGTTGTGCATTACACATTGCTCTGAGCTCACGGCCATACGTTGAGACACTGTTGGCGAATGGAGGGGTCTGTTTCTGATCTCAGATTTAATACATCATGTCTCTCTGCATATGCAACCTTATCGCGTGCCGAAAATGATGCTGTTTCCGAAATAAAGCTGTGGAATGTTGTTAGAATTAAAGTTTTGGCTACGCATGTGTATGAACAATCCGCCTTTAGCCATACGAACCATGCAATGCTTTACGATCAACTGCAATCTACATCGGAACGTGCATGTAGTCGCTGATTGTATAAAGGGAGACAACTAACGCGGTGATCTGTAAGGTACATCCAGTAAAGCGTGGAACGACGTGATTCTCAACTTATGGTGATTGGGGTGAAATGGGGTGAGGTGAGATGAGGTGAAATGGGGTTTAACGTCGCGTTCAAGATTAATGCATTTAGGAGCGGGCGTGCGTGCTTACGTCTGTGTGTGTGTGTGTGTGTGTGTGTGTGTGTGTGGCTGCTTGTAATGCTGGCTTTATGGTGCGAGACCACTGATATACAATGCCGCAGTTTAACATTGAACACCACGCAGATAGACAAAGTGTACTGAATTCGAACCGACTAGTTCTTGTTTTATCCCTATAATGCCAAGCGCCATCTTTTAACGTCTTTTAGCAAGACGTGACCGGGGATCGAACCACCTACCTTCCGCTCTACGGGCAAACGCTCTATCCACTAAGTCTGTAATAATAATAATAATAATAATAATAATAATAATAATAAAAATCTCAATCTCAGTGTCGGTGTTGATGGTTCTATACTGCTGGGCGGTACAGAAATGAGTGTCAACCAAGCGAAGTGCCATATCAAGTCGGCTCAGACTCAGTTTTTCAAGGAGAGACTTTCTGAACGAACACTGCATCGAGTTTATGTGCAGTGTGTTGAGAGAAACAGCAATCCTGCAGAGTCCTTCGCTTGGATGAAGTCGGCTGGCCTGAAAAGTGAAACAGAAAGCTTTCTGTTTGCTGCCCAGGACCAGTCACTTCCAACTCGAAACCGCCAATGTGTGATTTTGCATCAAGTGAAATATGAAATGTAGATTATGTAATGAATTTAATGAGACCTGTCCAACACATTGTCAGTGGATGCCCAGCTTTGGCTCAGACACAGTATCTTAAGCGACATGATAGCGTGGCTCTATCATTTTATTACCGTCTCCGTTTTGACACAGAGGTCCACCTATGGTGCGACCCGGAATATGTTAAGGGCGTCATGGAAAATGATAAATTCAAAATTATTTGGAATAGGCCCATTTTCAGCCTCAGACGTATCCAGGCCAACAAACCTGATCTTGTCCGTTTTGATAAATCCAATGAAATCATTTAAATGATTGAAATTTCTGTCCCCTTTGACACAAATGTGATTGACAAGGTTGAGGAAAAACATGGCAATTATGCGGACCTCGCTTTCGAAATGTCACGCTTGCATCCCAAGTACCAAGTTGGCCGACTCCCCATTGTTCTCGGTGCCTTAGGTTTGGTAGCTCTCAATCTGTTGACTGACATTGGGAGAGTACCGGGTTTGCTACCAGGAATACAGCCCTTCTGACAATCTGGGTAATGCAGAAGGCTGCAGTGTTGGGGAGTCATCACATTCTCCGAAAAGTTCTGGGTGGGTTTCTGGATCGTGTTGTAAAAGGAAGCAGGTTGCAGGACATGTAAATTAGTTGTCACACATGCATTGACAGTTCATTGACAGTGATGGTGTTTGTGATTTGTGTTTAAAAATTATCAGATGAAATATTAATTTAATTACGGTCTGGGAACGTGAAATCATCATTAAAACGATTGGTAAGAATGTAAAATCAGTGTCAAGTTTGAACCTCAGTCAAAACTTGCACTCACTGATTTTTGTGTCTCTTTTTAATGGGCAGATATGCAGTGAAAATGACACTCCCATCATATTCCAAAGACTGATTGCAGCTTCTGATACCATAAGGTATCTTTCGATATTCACACATTTTTAAGATATCTGTGTAACGCTGAGGACACTCGTCCATTAACGCGTCTTGAATGGTAACGTCATCACGTCACCATGTTGTTGTGTGTAGACGAGGTTTTCTGCACAAAGATGAATCGTTGCCTATACATAGTGAGTGAATGTGGTTTTACGCCTCTTTTAGCAATATTCCAGCAATATAAAGTCGGGGGACACCAGAAATAGGCTTCACACATTGTACCCATGTCGGGAATCGAACACGGGTCTTCGGCGTGACGAGCGAACGCTTCACCCACTATGCTACCTGACCGGCCCGACCGATACATAACAAATGTGCTTGATTCTGGTGCTGTCAACTATCTTTTCGCGATCTGTTTCGATGAAGCTATTTTCAACTGAAAGGCCAGAAATAATTAACAGTTTGTTTAACGCTAAAGCAAGAGTAAAAAATGTCGAATCTGATGACCTGCTTGCCCATATCTAACATCTGAGTTTGAATAGGGTTTAAAGTCGTGTTCAAGGTTATTGCACTTATATAGCAACGCGCATGCACGTGGGTGGCTGCTTGTACAAGTCCAGAATGATGCCGATTTTTTTTGCTAGCCCACTGAGATACATGTACCATGTCGCAGTTTAACATGAATACCCAACTCAGACACAGTATACTGACCCCGAGCCGACCAGTCCTTGTTTTAGCCCCTTAATGCCGAGCGCCAGGCAGGTTAACAACAAGTACGATCTTTTAACGTCTTTTGGTATGATCGAACCCCGGACCTTCCGCTCTCCGGGCGGACGCGCTACCACTAGATCACGGAGGCGGTCTCACATCTAACAGAAATAAGACATACAAATATGATTTTCCAAGTTTAATTCATCAGCTATGATGTTGTTCAAATGTCATTATAGTGTATAGTAGTAATATTAGCAGTTACTGTTGACATTAAGGGCAACTATGTCCAATTGAGGCTAAAATAATGTGTGCATGAAAAAACATTCTCCTCGCGCATTGGCCATAAACCAGCCAGAGTTGTCTTCCTTTGATCACGCGAAGTTCCACTGTGCGTTATCTGATCGTGTCGTGAGATACATAGTTGACACTAAATATATAGCAACCTGTGTTTGTAAGAGGCAACTAATGAGATCGGAATGTTAGATTTGGTTGATGAATGTCATTGTATCCTTATTAAGTAGATCGATGCTCATGATACCAAGTACTGAATTGTCTCGCCCTGACACGATTGTTTACAGACCGCCGTCATATTGATGAGAAATTGCCGAGTGCGGCGTACAGCAAAAAACAAACAACATATAGGCAATGTAATAACTAATTTGCAACATAAAGAAACAAAAACTTTCGATTTTTATCATGACCAACATGTCCATGAACGATGCAATTAATGATAGTCAGCTAAAACACGTCAGCTTGAATAAAATGGAGACAAATCAGTGACTGAATAGAAATTGTCTTTGCAAGAGAATAACCAGTCTAGATTATCCGAAAAACACACCAGATTCCTGCATGTTAAAAGTATATGAATAAACCAGTGCTCAGCGATGACACCATTGATGACGCTAGGTGTTCGCGAAAAGGGTAAGCCTGTCCTGCCGTACCGGTAGCACCCGTCATTCACACAATTTCATAAAAAAACCGAAGCACTCATTGCCTGATGCCGCACAGCAGTACTCCTGCCATGCGACAGCTGCCTGTAAACAAACCAGACAATCAATTGCAAGTGATCGATGACCAAGAAAATCCAGTGGCACGATAGTGCATTTACTGATTTTGTTGAAACTGAAAAAAACACCCGAAAAGTTAAGTTTGAATTACGTCTAGTGTGCACAAGTGCTGATTATAAGTGAAGAAAACGTTTTAGAAATAGATTTACCATGAACAACGATCGACGCCATCGGGACACGATGACACCCAAGTCACATACCATTTGATTTAAACATATTTTATTGGGGAAAATCAAATTGATGGAGTTTTCACATACCATGATCACTTAATCTCCATTTCAGTCCGATCCTAAGACAAACATTGGTACCGATGACATAATCGAACCATCCACCCAGGGTAGTTTTTTTCAAATCGAGAAGAGACTTATTTGTTTTTTTCAACTGAAGATATTTTATCATATCGTTTTGTTTCTAATAAATGCCATGATGATATGCCACCTTGCAATACAATAATATTGTTTTTCTCGAATTAATAAAATATCAGATAAAACAGTAAAACTTAAGCATTGTAATTCAAACCAGTAGAATCATGAGTCATTCACATCATGTTCATATTCCGAAAACGCGCGATTTTGAATGACACTATCATTATCTGTACTTCTATAAGCTGTTGGTACAACGAATGTTTCAGCATTGGTCATTGCAGAGTCGGCGGCAAGAGTCTCTGAGTCATCGTGATACAGGACCATCCTCCTCCGCTTGGTTGTACGCTGACGGCGCACAACGATGGAAATAATAACAAACACCACCGCAATAGAGGCCCATGATGCACCGAGAGCAATGTACTTGATGGTCATTTTGTCCAGGCCCGGATGTGTTCTTGATGTCACTTCCGGTTGTTCTGTATTTGATATTTCGATATCTAGAAATGCAGTTCAAAGTGGAATTGAAAGGCAATCATATACATGTGGACATTGTTTTTTCTAAATAATATATGATTGAGCGGGGTTTATTGCATTGGTTAATGTACCTTTAGATATATCAAGGCATGTTAACTGTTTGGTGTATCCATCAGCACATGTATGGCGTTGTTTAACCAACTTAAGAAGCATCAAAAGGGTCATCCTCCCGAGGCAAGAGAGTTAACTGACACTTCAATAGTCCAAAGGAAACTGGACTTTCATAGTCAGTTAACCCTCTTGCCTCGGGAAGATGAATAAGGGCGGATCTGGTTACAGACAACAAGCGAGTCCCGTTTGAACAGCGTTCATCGACACCTTGCACAACACACATGAATTTATGAGGAAATTAGTTTTACACGTTATCTTAACATAATGGCATAATTAAGTGAAACATTATCACATTGTGTTATTATTTAATTCATACTACCGGTTCTTTTCATGCTATCTAAGATGCTTCCAATGATGTTTCATGCGTTTCTGATTAATTTTCACATGTAAATTTAAACGTTTAAGATGAATACACACATATACCTGTAGATAGGTGTGGATCCTCTGTCTGATTCTGTAGACCTTCTGAATGCGATTGTGAATCTTCTGTATGCAGGCTTGGATTCTCTGTATGCAGGCTTGGATTCTCTGTCTGCAGGCTTGGAGTCTCTGTATGCACGCTTGGATTCTCTGTATCACTGGTCTCAAGTGACCCTGTTGTTTCCTCTGTACTGTGTAACCCATCTGTATCTGTATATGTTTGTGGTAACGGACTTGAAGAGGGTGGCTGTACATTAGTCATGTTAATGTACCGTACTGAAGTCGGTGTCGTCTCCCTCTTGGCATGGTTTGTCCCTGGATGCTTAGATGAGATCGGTGAAGTGTTTCGTGTCGTCTGAATTTTTGTGGATATTTCTTGGAACATTGTTTCATTCTCGACAGACACTGAGGTAGATGGCATCAAAAAGCTTGTAACAAACGTTGGCACTGAAGAAGACGATACGTGATAATTCATAATCTCGATTTACACAAGGAAAGTCAAGTAATGACCAAAGAGAGACATAATTTCAATCTCAATAACTCAATTTCTCTGCAGGCAAGAAATAAATTTGTCTCTGTTCACCCAACCACCAATGGGTACCCGGTAGTTTGAGCTTGAAATGCGAATGAAGAAATGTCGGCTTTGGCAGAAGTTGAACATTTGACTTACACGTATACGCTGGCCGGGTTACTAATTAACAGGCATTTGTTTAAGAGCTGAATAAATGTGTATATAATTATTGTTTTGTTTAAATAGGTCAGCTGAAACACAACCATATCACCTCATGTATTATTAGAATATTGGCTATATCGGTGACATATCTCCTTAGGGAAGTCAGGTTTTTATATAATTTCATTTATGAAAATATACTAACAAAACTCGTGATGGAAGACAAGTACACTCACCGCACGCAAGAATGGACATCGTCACAAGGACATTTTGCTTGTAGACAGCCATTTGTATATCAAAATCTAGGTTGTCATGTATCAGTTTTGAAGCACGCTATCTCGGTGGCTATCAGGAAGGACTGCAATGGTTATCACTCTACGCATGCCTAAGCTATGTACAGTCTCCACCTCTCGTTGAGATATCATGATGTGGAGTGATTGCGGGCACGTTTCCTCAAGAGCACGGATACGGTGACAAACCAAGGATCATAATCAGGTGGGTGCTGGGATTCGAACCCACGATCATCTCAGCAGGGTCTCAGACCATTGTGCTACATTAATCTACCTGCTGTTTGCTGATTACAGATTCTGGCAAACCTTGTAACAGTCCAAATTAAGTACAATGTATACGTCCAAAACGTCAACGCCAAAAAACATCAGTCTGAAAATATTCAAGAGGGCGTGGCAGGCAACATGGTAATGCAATTTATATGAATGGATCACTGAAAATCAGTGATGACACGAGGTGTTCGCTAAAATGGGTCAGCATGTCACGCTGTCCCCGTAGCACCCGCCACTCGCACACTTTCATTGAACTCGTGTTTGTTTCCTAATGACACACATAAAGCGTTTTAAAATGTGTTTTCTGAACTCTACTGATCTGAATTTTGTAAAATACAAAGAACTAAAAACAATGTATATGATGGGATGATGGTGAATTAGGAGATAAACATACTGAGTGTGTTTTCAATGTAGAGCTAGGTTACCTGTAGATTTAACACAGCTAAATTGAATTTGGAACCGAACGCGCAGCGTGAGGTTTCAAATGTTAAGTTTAGCGTCTGTTTCAATCAGAGGGGGTTTATTGTGATTTAATAGCCTCTCATTGACCAATCAGAATCGAGTAAATTCCAAATTCATGGTAGCTATAGATTATACATTATTCCTTATGGGGACGTCAGAAACTATCATACAACAATATCGCTTTCTTCAATGTCATTATTTGGTCAAAAGCACATCACGTGAGTATATGTATCTGCTAAATAACAAAGAAGAGATTCCTCCATTGTAGTTCTATATACGCGACAAGAAGTTATCTCGTTAAGTCCGACCTGTGATTGGGACTGGTCACGGAGACCTGTGAGTGTATTTCTGATAAGGGAGAGTTGATTGATAAACACCCAAACCCGTATCTGTCTCAAGTGACCATGTGTACACATACAAGTTTCATTTCAATGGTTTCTGTCAAAGTCAGTCATCAAACCATCTAGTATTAAGAAGGTACATGCCAAAGGAAACATATGTTGTCTCTTTCAAAACGTTGGGCCTTTATCTTTACGTATTGTCCAAAAACATTTGATAAAAGTGGCAAAAACAGTAGACAGATGTCTCTCAATCGTGAGTGCGAAATTCTCTTCCTAGGACTTATAAATTTCCCATGCCTTAGCATAGGTGTTCATTTATATACCTGTTATTGTTATAGGAGCCGTGCCAATTTACACTTGTCAAAGGGGTACACACAGTTTGTGATGTAGACTACCAGTTAGTCTTTAGTCTTTAGTAGACTTTCATTTTGTGGAATCCTCGATGGATGAGTGAAATAGATCGCTGACTTTGTGTGCTGGCAATGAGGTGCCTCACTCTGGCATTGTTGTTTCGAATCCCGAATTGGACTCAACCGAAGAAAGTACTAGAATCTGTACTTTACCAAGAAAGAGTTATCCCAAATATAACATATTTTACGTTATTGTAATAATTGAAATGTTGCAATATTATCTTCTTTACTTTCCGTTATTATATTATACATACTAACATGTAACCATAAATTTCAGTGAAGTGATGGTCATAAATTGATCTCCTAAATCCATGGACTGAGTGAGTAAGTGAGTGAGTGAGTGAGTTGGGTTTAACGCCGCTTTTAACAGTATTACAGTTATATCGCGGCGTGTCAGCTTAATGTGGGAGGAAAGCCCGAAGTGATGCAGGTCTTAGACGTTTACCACTTCGGTGAAACCCACGAGCACGGGTATGGTGCTGGCAAACCTGGAAACATAATCGGGGCGAACCGGGATTCGAACCCACAATCACAGGTTTCTGGCGTGCCCAAGGGGCGCAACTCTGCACAGCGAATCGCGGCGCCTTAGACGACTGGGCCACCCGTGCCCCCCCCCCCCCCCCCCCCCCCCTCCTCCATGGACTGTGACAAAACTAGAACCCCTATGCATATTTCATACAATCATACCAACTTGTGTGTCACTTCTTTTCAAGAAAGGAAGTGGGGAAACCTTGTGGTTAAAGCATATGCGTGTCCTCATGGGTACAATGTGTGAAGACCATTTCTCATGTACCCCGACGTGCTATTGCTGGAATATTGCTCAATACGGCGTCAATCATACTCTCTCACTATTCATGATAACACTTCGTTTTATTGGAACGTCAAGCCTTTCCAGTGTCTGTTTTCCATAATATACTTAGATTTGTTTGACTCATTTAGTTAAATGCCGCACCAGCAGATATGTGTATGTGCAATCGATAACTCTGAGTGCTCATGTATACACAAGGTACATTTATTTGTATCACTATTGACAAACACTATCTACATCCGTTCAATATCCAAAGATATTATTGTATGTATGATATTAAAAAGTTGTTATTTCAAATGTAATTTTGCATTTATGAATAAAATTTCTATTTCACAATTCACTGTTTCCTTATCACGTGTGCTTGTATTTCAAGGAAATAATGAAAGATTACGTTTGTAGCGCAAAACGGATTCCCTGAGAGATAAGACAATGATCATCTCTTGGTCCAGGCATGTTGTCGTGTTGTGGCTGATCTGTGTGAGTATAGCATCATTGTGCAGCAGTGTGGCCTGGAGCTGTAGCACGGCTGCCTGGTGCTGGAGCTGCTCCCCCGGGCTCAAGGAGGTGTCGTCCACCCTGAACAGTTCCGGTTCTCTGTGGAGGAGGGTCCTCTCTTGAAGTCGAAGTGAACTCTCGGCGTTGTTCTTCACCAGTTGCTTCTGGAGGTCCTGCAGGAGACTCATCTGGTCTTCAATGAAGTCCAGTTGGCGTTGGAGTAAATTGAGTCTTGTATCCCCGGTATTCGTGATCAGCTGCTTTGCTGTGGCTACCATCATGTTTTGTTCATTCATCAGCAAGGCCTGGTCGGTGTTTGTGAGAGTCTGGATGGCGTGTAAATTTAATTGTTTGTTTTGAAGATTTGAAGGGTAAATATGGACTATACGTCTGATTTTGAGAAGTATATCGTTTTCTATAAGAAGTGACTCACTCTCATGTGTGTTGAAGTGAATGCATGCTTCGTTTTGATCTGTAAGTGTAATCGTTGAGTCTAAGATTTGTTCTACTAATAATTTTAATGTCCCAGTAGTTGATTGAGGATAAGGTGAAGATGTTGTATACGTCTTTCCCAGGAGTGTTGTTGTGTATGTCGTGTTTAGAGGTGTTGCTGTATCATGTCTAGTGTTGAGTACCGATGTTTGATCAGGCACACCTCTGACTGTGGACATCTCATGAATGCTCGTGAATTCCCTGCCTGAAAGGGGAAAATACTGAGCCGTAAGTAATCGTCCTTACAATGTATCCATTTGGTGATCGCTTAATTCTGATTGTGGATCAATACATCAGTACAAAATTCCATTCCAGTGTTTCTCAAAGAACACAATATACAAAGCATTGAACAAACCAGTTAAAGCTAAATGGATACTCAATTGATCAGATATGCTGGAATTCGTTGACACCAGAAACAACAATCCAGTTTTAAGTCTATGCTTAATGCTTATGTTATATATAGTTCAATAACATTTTAACGCTTTGGGAAGAGCAAGTTTTAATGCATAGCGACATACAATGAACAGACAACAGATCACAATATAAAATGATATAACTTTGTAATGTAACACATATTTATGATCACATACTTTACTCCAGGGGTATGCATGGTAAAATCAATCATATATGAAGTTCGTTAAATCAGTGTGACATACACAATAGAGCACGATTCATTTTATTAGTCATAATGATAATTCGATGGGTCATGTACAGCGATAAATGTTGATATGATTCCATGAACAAAGTATGTTGTTTCTATCTGACACAAAGTCAACTATGATCAACTATGTATTACAGAAATCCGACACACTGGCATCTCATTGATATGAAATACTAACACACATGAGTGACTTTCAGATGGGAAGTTGAATGGATTATGGTCAATTTCATGGCATTTATAACGTCAGGACAGTGGTTTAGGGGCCACCAACGTCATTCCCGCTTTCTAACACACCGACAAGGGATAATCTTGCAAGGGAATATTCCAAGATTTTACGGGGGAAATCTGAAATGTATTTAATCTCAAATATATAACATCACCAGACACCCCGGAATGAAAATTAGAGCCTAGTCCCCTCATATGGATACCGATTTCCCCCGACATGTCTAAACTGTACGTAGCAATCTATCACAGTTGGGTGTTCACGTGGAACGTATTGCCACATAGGAATACCGATCTCCACCGACATGTCTAAACTGTACGTAGCAATCTATCACAGTTGGGTGTTCACGTGGAACGTATTGCCAGATAGGAATACCGATCTCCCCCGACATGTCTAAACTGTACGTAGCAATCTATCACAGTTGGGTGTTCACGTGGAACGTATTGCCACATAGGAATACCGATCTCCACCGACAAGTCGACATTGTACGTAGCAATCTATGACAGTTTGGTGTTCACGTTAAACATTCCCATGCCCCTTGAAAATAAAATAAAATGATTATTGATGCAGATTGATGCAACGGATAGGTTTAGTTATATAGATTTCTTCTTTCAACTCTTGAGAATGTTTTATTAGATGTATTGAAATGCGGTACAATGTTTTTAGCTTGTATCGTGGTTTTCGATTATATTTTGTATAAACGAAAAGAGGGTGTAATTACTATTCAACGCACGATTTGTATATTTACATGTCTGTTGAATACAATTTATATATTGATATAGTTGAATTGCATGTTGGTTGGTATTCAAATAGAAATGTATATGAGTGAGTGAGTGAGTTGGGTTTAACGCCGCTTTTAACAGTATTACTGTGATGCAGGTCTCAGACGTTCACCACTTCGGTGAAACCCTCGAGCACGGGTATGCTGACAAACCTAGAAACATGATCGGGGCGAACTGGGATTCGAACCCACAATCATAGGTTTCTGGCGCGTCCAAGGGACGCAACTCTGCACAGCGAATCGCGGCGTCTTAGACGACTGGGCCACCCGTGCCCCCGAAATGTATATGAACTGTGTAATGTGATGTCACAGATGCTATGCTACTATGTCAACACGGAGGAGCGTTGTCATGTCAATGGTACAAAGGTAATATGTTGAAATATGAGCGACAGAATCCTTTCCACATACATAAGAAATCTCAGATGTACGATTCAGACTGTATCTTGGGCATGTGCTTATGAATCACTATCAAATAGTGATGACACCAGGTGTTCGCGAAAAGGTGAACGTATGCTGCCCTACCGATAGCACCCGTCACAAACACATGCAAAAGCAGGTCAAATGTTTATCTGAATAACACACGGGAAGATATATGGTACATGTCAAAATGGGGAATTGCGTCAGATATCATTTTTATCACTAATGCGTCAAATTTGGAAATGTCCTCGACATGTCTACCACAAAGTGTTTGAAAGTTACTGAGACCTTGTACGGTGAACCATGCTGATCAAACCATGCTGATCAAATTCGTTCATAACATTCTTTGTGTCAGTAACGCACGAAATGCATCTGAATAATTCCCTCGCATTAATTCACTATGAGCATATACAATTGCACTCAATGGCATAATTATTCCATTAGAATATTCATCGGCACTGGTTTACAATCTAATGTCCCAGAATTCACCATGTATTTGGTCCTCGCCAACGAATTCACCATGTATTTGGTCCTCGCCAACGAATTCATCATGTATTTGGTCCTCGCCACCCTCCCTGCTGTTTAAAGAAATGTCTTTAAACTCGACAGAAGTACCCCTGGTCGACCCGACGTTATGGATGTTATCCTCCAGATAGGCCGATTTGTTCATCGTTGTCTTCCTCCTCTTCCATAAGAATAAACTCAAGATCAGGATCACAACAGCAGCTGCAGGTATTACAGTAGCAAGAATAATCACTTTCCTTTTCTTAGAAAGGAATTCGTTGTTACCTTGACCCGACGTCTGTGTGGTATGGACTGTGGAATTGGTGGAGGTTGCAGATGTACTGCTCTTGCCGCCCCCGCGATCTGAAGTGTGTGTTGGGGTTAGGCCACTTCCATTCTCAGATGTTTGCGGCCTGTTGACTGAGGATCTGGTAGGTGTTGCATGGATTTCGTTACCGGTTCTTCCTTGATCGAATGTGCTCACTTCAATCGTGGATCGAGAAGCATTTTGAATTTCAGTTGGTTTAGGTGTAGTTAGTTTAGGTGTAGTGGGTTTGTGTGTAGTTGGTTTAGGTGTAGTGGGTTTGTGCGTAGTTGGTTTAGGTGTAGTGGGTTTGTCTGTAGTTGGTTTAGGTGTAGTGGGTTTGTGTGTAGTTGGTTTAGGTGTAGTGGGTTTGTGTGTGGTTAGTTTAGGTGTTGTGGGTTTGTGCGTAGTTGGTTTAGGTGTAGTGGGTTTGTGTGTAGATGGTTTATGTGTTGTGGGTTTGTGCATAGTTGGTTTAGGTGTAGTGAGTTTGTGCGTAGTTGGTTTAGGTGTAGTGGGTTTGTGCGTAGTTGGTTTAGGTGTAGTGGGTTTGTGTGTGGTTAGTTTAGGTGTTGTGGGTTTGTGCGTAGTTGGTTTAGGTGTAGTGGGTTTGTGTGTAGATGGTTTAGGTGTTGTGGGTTTGTGCATAGTTGGTTTAGGTGTAGTGAGTTTGTGCGTAGTTGGTTTAGGTGTAGTGAGTTTGTGCGTAGTTGGGTTAGGTGTAGTGGGACTGTGTGTAGTTGGTTTAGGTGTAGTGGGTTTGTGCGTATTTGGTTTAGGTGTAGTGGGTTTGTGTGTGGTTAGTTTAGGTGTTGTGGGTTTGTGCGTAGTTGGTTTAGGTGTAGTGGGTTTGTGTGTAGTTGGTTTAGGTGTAGTGAGTTTGTGCGTAGTTGGTTTAGGTGTAGTGGGTTTGTGTGTAGATGGTTTAGGTGTAGTGGGTTTGTGTGTAGTTGGTTTAGGTGTAGTGGGTTTGTGTGTAGTTGGTTTAGGTGTAGTGGGTTTGTGTGTGGTTAGTTTAGGTGTTGTGGGTTTGTGCGTAGTTGGTTTAGGTGTAGTGGGTTTGTGTGTAGATGGTTTATGTGTTGTGGGTTTGTGCATAGTTGGTTTAGGTGTAGTGAGTTTGTGCGTAGTTGGTTTAGGTGTAGTGGGTTTGTGCGTAGTTGGTTTAGGTGTAGTGGGTTTGTGTGTGGTTAGTTTAGGTGTTGTGGGTTTGTGCGTAGTTGGTTTAGGTGTAGTGGGTTTGTGTGTAGATGGTTTAGGTGTTGTGGGTTTGTGCATAGTTGGTTTAGGTGTAGTGAGTTTGTGCGTAGTTTGTTTAGGTGTAGTGAGTTTGTGCGTAGTTGGGTTAGGTGTTGTGGGACTGTGTGTAGTTGGTTTAGGTGTAGTGGGTTTGTGCGTATTTGGTTTAGGTGTAGTGGGTTTGTGTGTGGTTAGTTTAGGTGTTGTGGGTTTGTGCGTAGTTGGTTTAGGTGTAGTGGGTTTGTGTGTAGTTGGTTTAGGTGTAGTGAGTTTGTGCGTAGTTGGTTTAGGTGTAGTGGGTTTGTGTGTCGTTGGTTTAGATGTAGAGGGTTTGTGTGTAGTTGGTTTAGGTATAGTGTGTTTGTGCGTAGTTGGTTTAGGTGTAGTGGGTTTGTGTGTTGTTAGTTTAGGTGTTGTGGGTTTGTGCGTAGTTGGTTTAGGTGTAGTGGGTTTGTGTGTAGTTGGTTTAGGTGTAGTGAGTTTGTGCGTAGTTGGTTTAGGTGTAGTGGGTTTGTGTGTCGTTGGTTTAGATGTAGTGGGTTTGTGTGTAGTTGGTTTAGGTATAGTGTGTTTGTGCGTAGTTGGTTTAGGTGTAGTGAGTTTGTGCGTAGTTGGTTTAGGTGTAGTGGGTTTGTGTGTAGTTGGTTTAGGTATAGTGGGTTTGTGCGTAGTTGGTTTAGGTGTAGTGAGTTTGTGCGTAGTTGGTTTAGGTGTTGCGGGTTTGTGTGTAGATGGTTTAGGTGTAGTGGGTTTGTGTGTAGATGGTTGAGGTGTAGTGGGTTTGTGTGTAGTTGGTTTAGGTGTAGTGGGTTCGTGCGTAGTTGGTTTATGTGTATTGGGTTTGTGTGTGGTTAGTTTAGGTGTTGTTGGTTTGTGCGTAGTTGGTTTAGGTGTAGAGGGTTTGTGATGAGTTGGTTTAGGTGTAATGAGTATGTGTGTAGATGGTTTAGGTGTAGTGAGTTTGTGCGTAGTTGGTTTATGTGTATTGGGTTTGTGTGTGGTTAGTTTAGGTGTAGTGGATTTGTGTGTAGATGGTTTAGGTGTAGTGGGTTTGTGTGTAGTTGGTTTAGGTGTAGTGGGTTTGTGTGTAGTTGGTTTAGGTGTAGTGGGTTTGTGCGTAGTTGGTTTAGGTGTTGTGGGTTTGTGTGTAGTTGGTTTAGGTGTTGTGGGTTTGTGCGTAGTTGGTTTAGGTGTAGTGGGTTTGTGATGAGTTGGTTTAGGTGTAATGAGTATGTGTGTAGATGGTTTAGGTGTAGTGGGTTTGTGCGTAGTTGGTTTATGTGTATTGGGTTTGTGTGTGGTGAGTTTAGGTGTAGTGGGTTTGTGTGTAGATGGTTTAGGTGTAGTGAGTTTGTGCGTAGTTGGTTTAGGTGTTGTGGGTTTGTGATGAGTTGGTTTAGGTGTAATGAGTATGTGTGTAGATGGTTTAGGTGTAGTGAGTTTGTGCGTAGTTGGTTTATGTGTATTGGGTTTGTGTGTGGTTAGTTTAGGTGTAGTGGGTTTGTGTGTAGTTGGTTTAGGTGTAGTGGGTTTGTGTGTAGTTGGTTTAGGTGTAGTGGGTTTGTGCGTAGTTGGTTTAGGTGTTGTGGGTTTGTGTGTAGTTGGTTTAGGTGTTGTGGGTTTGTGTGTAGTTGGTTTAGGTGTAGTGGGTTTGTGTGTAGATGGTTTAGGTGTAGTGGGTTTGTGTGTAGTTGGTTTAGGTGTAGTGTGTTTGTGTGTGGTTAGTTGAGGTGTTGTGGGTTTGTGCGTAGTTGGTTTAGGTGTAATGGGTGTGTGCGTAGTTGGTTTAGGTGTAGTGAGTTTGTGCGTAGTTGGTTTATGAGTATTGGGTTTGTGCGTAGTTGGTTTAGGTGTTGTGGGTTTGTATTTCGTTGTTGCCGTTGACGACGTTGAGCCTGAAACATTTCAACTTCTATATATTGGAACTTACTGATTAAGTCATTTAGAGACATTTGTTTATTTAAAGTCTTACATTGCTTAAACAACACTTTGACAAATGTTCTGTCACTTTGTCTGAACAAGGAAATACTAAAGTTCATAAATAGTTAGTTAATCACGGGAAGGTTGAATATCCACGGATTTCTGATAAAAACAGAGTATTGGAAACTCAAGTCACTAAGCGCTTGGTTAAACACGGGAAGGTTGGTTATCAACGTATTGCTAGAAAAACTGAGTATTAGAAACCTTAGTCATTAAGAGTTTAGAAATCACGGGAAAGTTTGTTATCCACGGATTACTAACAAAACTCAGTATTACAAACCCTAGTAACTACGTTTAGTTCAGTTCAACCAGACTAAGTCAGAATCTAGATAGACTAAGCCCCGAACCCACGTACTGACAAAGCCTGAGTTTCGAACGTGACCTCTCCAGTAGCGAGACAATCGTGAACGATTTAACGAAGTCTGGAGGGTGAAGATACGAGATCTAGAAAGTCTACATATACAGCGCACGCGGACGTCGGAGGAGACATCCTGGACCGCTGGGAATACACCTGACGGAGGCGACATCCTGGACCGCCGGGGAATACAACTGACGGAGGCGACATCCTGGACCGCTGGGGAATACAACTGACGGAGGAGACATCCTGGACCGCCGGGGAATACAACTGACGGAGGCGACAATGTACTATTTTTTTTAAACACATGGAAGACACGGATAGCTAACTAACTACTATATCTACACTGGGGATGTAAGTATCAAAATAAAGCGCTGAACATAAGCAATCCGACGGTATCATTAGAGATACACAACAAGCTATGTACAATTTTGACGAGGCAAAAATGACCATAAATACAAGAGAAATATCTGAATGTAGATAAGTTATAAATTCCCCTAATGTTTGCAAATCATAAATACAAAAACATTTTCAATACAAGAATACGGTAGTGAACATATGAGAGCATCGTTTGAGAGTGTCATTAGATAACAAGTGAGAAAAAGAGTTGGGCCACTAATTTCCTGACACCAAAATGATCTGACTCCGTCAGAGAGCGACCGCCGGAGATTACCGAGCGGTGACGGAAATAAAGCCGGAGTAAAAACGGCACTGGACCGTGACATGGGTAAAATTGATCATACCCATTTGTGTAAATGAATAGCCTCTGCTTGAATCAGCTTATTTTGGGAAATACCTTCATGTCTACTTTGTCTTGTGAGATAATGGATAATTATTGTTGAAATGACCCTTAAATATATATTGTCAAAGAAAGAACCATTTGTTTATCCACCGAAACAGATTCAAAAGCGGTGGACCATTAATATCAGTGATGACATCAGGTGTTCGCAAAAAGGGTAAGCAAGACCTGCCCTACCGATAGCACCCGCCATTCACACAATTTGCATCAACAATAGTCAGATTTATTGCCTTACGCCGCACCGCACTACTTTTGCCATGCGACAGCGACCTTTAAACAAACCAGACAATCAAGTGGCACGATTGTGCACTTACAGATTATTTTATTGAAGATAATAAAAACGATATGTTAATTTTTAATTACGTCTATTGTGTACAAGTGCAGAGATTCTGTGGCTTATAAGTTGAGAAAAACGTTTTAGAAATATATCAATTTTGCAACACAGTGGGGGTCAGTTATAATGTCTAGACATTTGCTGTTTACCACAGATTGCGTTATATATAAAACTCGAGCATATACATGTAAAATTAAGAGTCTACCGTTTCTTAATATTGAGGTGTGGCCGAGGGGAGGGGGGCGGCATCAGCTAGGAATGTGACAAGAATAATCCCTCCCCGATAATGCTGGCATCAAATAACTTATCTTTAACGTTTGGCTGGACTCTATACCTCTTTTTTTGCTGGACTACAAAACTCCATAAATATTCGTACAAAGAGAGATACATATATATTGCTGGTTCCAGTAACGGTACCACCAAATCATTGCCTCAAAGATTAACCGTATTCATTAATGCAATCAAGGAAGAACTTTCTTTTATATTCACAGAAAGTTTTTGATACAAGTGGAACTAACACCGAATAGATATCGTTCCATAAAGAACAATTAGCCAATTCTCTTCTACTCATTTACACAAGTGAGCTAGAAAAAAAGAGACAAATGAAACCGCCCTTTATGTTTCATATTAAGATCTGTACATAATTACTAAGAGAGACAAAGGAACTTTGGTGCCTACTTTTCACAATCTGATACAATCGAACAAGCTCTTTCTACGAAGATTTCAAAGAGCGTCACGCGGCTCTACGTTTTGTAGTTGACATGTGTAAGTCATTTCCAAATTTAACGCATCAGTGACAATAATGATGCCCGATGCAAATCCTTATTTTTTACTTGTACCATATGGTACAGTGCATATGTCTGATGAACAATTGACTAACCTTTGCATGTGTTTGTGACCGGTGCCACCGGAGGGGCAGGATACACTCACCTTTTCGCGAACACCAGCTATCATCACTATTTCATAGTGATAGATAAACACATGCTCATGATATCGTCGGAATTGTAGGATGCTCTTAGTAGAAATTTAATATGGCTCTGGAAACTTAAGATTCTTGTTTCATTTATTTGCTCAACAGAGTAAAAGGATTGTTCACTGGACATGTTGGATGTTCTAAAAGTTAGTATGCTGTGGGTCGAAAACAAATTGTCTCGCTGAAGAGATGACTAAAGCAATTTCTGTCTCAAATAAAAACCAGATATTCTGTTCTGATGTGATATTCATATATTTGACATAACAAAGTGTAACGTGTGTTGAATAGTTGGTCAAAACAAGTTTTCTATGACCATTTTCTCTGGGGAATGTGAGTTTGTGACATAAACTGTCAATGCAAGAGAACAATCAGTATAGACTTGTAAAAGTTTCATATATGTGCTGTCATGAAGGAAACTCGCAACTTCTACACTTCTACACGCTGACGAGTAATTCTCGACCAATTAACATGTTGTACAAGAGAAACCCATGTCGTTCAGCTTGGTGTTCTGAGTGCACCTCGCACAGTGCAACATTACGGTTACAGTAAACTACGGTTATAAAGAACACGCTTATAACGAACTGGTGGATATAACGAACTGTTTTTTAGGTCCCTGCGTTTTGCTGTATATATGCTGTATATATGCTTATAACGAATTACGGTTATATTGAACGAGAATTTGGGGTCACTTTGAGAACGCTATAACCGTTGTTTACTGTATATCTTCATTAAAGTTTCCTTCTTCCTTATATAGGTATAGGTATAGGTAAGGCCGGAGTCAAATTTAAAACTGCATGTCGGTTTTTTTCTTGCGCAGTGATGCGCGGTATTTATTTTAAGATATACTTAATTATTATATTGATATTTGATTAAAAAACGCAATAATGACAAATACAAGCGACCACATGTATTCAATAATCATAGTCGATTACACGATTCTGACTATATCATAAACATGTGTTAACCAGGTTTTCGCGATAAGAAGAGCGTATCCTGCCCAACCGGTGGCACCGGTCACAAATACATGCAAAGACAAGTTTGCCACCTGCAAAAAGACACGGGAACATATACTACACGTCAAAATAAGGAGTTGCATCTGACGTTGTTCACGTCACTGATGCGTCAATTGCAGAATGACATTAAAGGGCCTCACAAGAGAGAGAGATATAAATGTACTCACAACTTCCGTTCGTGATGTTGATATCATCTAACGCAAGTATGACATCGCTGGATACAATCTTGGCGTGAAATGATATCTGAAGAGGGGATAAAACCGTCATTTGAGAAACCCGTAAATATCTAACACAAAACTTATAGCTAACTTGAAAAACGCACATCGCAATAGAGAATTGTTTAAAAAGTAGCAATAAAACATGATAATTTTGAAACGTGGCATTGGATAGCAGTTGTTCGCGATAGTGCCTCTTACCTTTTCATTGCGTTTAACATGGAATGTCATGTTAATTCCTGTCCAAGCGTTTTGGAATGTTGTTGGTACATGCATCACCGTGGCATTATTTAGGTGTATGGATAGGGAATTCTGACTAGTCCCATTCTGCCAGTACATTATCGACACACACACGGTCTGGTTTGTGCAGAATTGTGGCGAAGTCAGTGTGACCATTTGGTCCTGTTGATGTCCAGCCACGCGTAGAAAATAACCTGTTAAATAGCCATACAACATTGTAATAAGCATGATGCATCTTTCTTACTTCATATGGTGTTTATTGCTGTAAATATATATAACAGCTATAATATATATATAGCTGTACGATAAATCGCAAAGAACAATGAGGAACGAAGCCTGGTTTATTTCACCATAAAATATTGTTCTATCATGACGTCATGTCTGGAGATTCGAGATTCGTGATGACGTCGTATATTGGACGACGTTATTTTCTAGAGGAAGGTTTTCCGTGAGTTGTTCCCCATAGATGTAGCTCGGCAACGCAGATTAACGCAATGACCGCACGGTCTAATCCAAAAGTGGGAGAGATATGACAATAAGTATTGGGAGAATAGGTGCAGATTATCGATGTGAAAATTGTGAGAATACCAAACTTAATCCCCCTGTAATATTGAGTTGTCCGATATTGCCGAGGTCGGATTGTATTCGGGGAGCCTCATTATTTAAATATGTGTAAATAGTTTTAAAGCGTGTACAATTTATTGACATCCTCAAAAGGGCTGTACAAAATATTGATATCTCATATAAGAAATAAACGACTCGTGATCTTAGTTTCTCGTACAATAAAACATTGCAGGATGAACAAACCACTCGCTGCTGCGCCCCTCATGGTTTATTCTCCCAGCAGAGTTTTGTTGTATGATAATGAACTCCCACTCGTCGTTTATTTCTTAAATATATGTAGTTGTCTGCATCAATTGCGCTGTTCTGATAGGCTGTATTTGTAAGACCCGACTGGTACAGGTATAAACAATCTTCACTGAACACGTCAGTGGTGTAATCGTGTCCTTGAAATGATAGGGTATGGCTTTGATATTTACACAAAGATATCTATGACATATCTGACTGTTTCGAGGAAAATTACGCACCTGTGTTTGAAGCATCTTTCAGTCTGCCGTTATGTGGAAGTTTCAAAGAGTTGATACGCTTCCATTCATGAGTTTGACCAGGGGTAAACCCACAAAATGGTTTCACAATAATGTGGTCAAAGTCGCAGTGGACCCCTGTGATGCATGGAGTGCTGGTAGGTGCAGCTGTAGATAGAGTAAGTTCGACAGTACAGTCCACCCCAGTTATGTCAAACATGAAGGGTTAAACAAATATAAGTAAGTATTCGACTTATTCGTTCGAAAATTCGACACGCCTCATGAATAGTTTATCAATCATGCACATAATTCGTGTTCTAATGTTAATAAAATGCTACAATTTACTGCAGTTTATTACAATTTACCACAGTTTATTACAATTTACCACAGTTTATTACAATTTACCGCGTTATTACAATTTACCACAGTTTATTACAATTTACCGCGTTATTACAATTTACGTCGTAAATGCAGATGGAATAATAACCACAAAAACATATATGTCAATCAAACGTTGTTATGTCTATTTTTATTTGTTATGAAAGACTCCATGAGTACGGGGTATTAGTTTTCAATATTGACTTTCATAAGGTGTCTGCACACGAAGTAGACCTATTGGATTTTAACTATGCTCAGTAAATAAACCTTTCATGTTCTTAAAGTTTGCATGTGTTTGTTTAGGATGAGACCGTTCTCAGGATTAGAACGCGGTGTCAAAGTGTAAAGTATGAGTGGTTGCTTAGAAAATAATGATATTTGTTATCCATTACTGAATTAACAACATCTCCAAAACATTTTCATCCAAATAGTCATCCAATGAACCAGTATATTTCAAATTAGCAAAAACTTCTCAAATATGTATTTATTTCCTTAGACATTTAAAGCATTCTGCTCTTTCTTTCACTCTATTATCTATTTACAGTTCATGCGAAGGATGAAGGTCCTATTATCTCTCATATGCCAACATTGAGTCCGCATTTTGCCTTCCGCTCAGACAAGCGTGAAGAAAAATACCGTCGTCCTTGTCTACATGACCAGACAGAGGTCAGTATTTAGTTCTGTGTAAATTGTACATTAGAATCATCACTTGATTGTCTGGTTCGTTATATGCCCTCGTCGCGTTTCGGGAGTACTAGTGTGCTCAGTCTGAAAACTGTCGCACACAGTTTTTATGCAAGTTTACGAATGGCGGGTGCTGTTGTTGTCGCAGGACATGCTCATCTTTTTCGCGGGCCTGGTGCCATCATTGATGTTCAGTGGTCCTTCGTGTGGTTTCATCGCTATTTTACCTATTGCGCCAAATGGGGTACTGTTTTGTATGTGTATAATTCTTAAATCTTCTGAGGCAGACCTCATCGTTCTAAGGTGTACTTCGTGTGGAGAAAAGTTTTATGATCTATTAATCATATTAATCGGTTTAGACTTGATAAGCTTTCAAATTTTATGGCGGGTTAGTCAGCACAACTCCATGGTGTCAAAGTAAGAATATTCATTCGAGAAGAGTCACATTTTTCCAGAGGCAACGACTAAGCAGTGAAACGCCCGGAACAGGCCATTTACTTCAGTATAACCAAGCATTAACTTAAGGCAAGGGTTTGTATTTGTAAATCCAGACAAATACCCTCTTTATACGCCACAATCTTTTTCGTGTTTATTTACAGTTACAATACAAGTGAGTGAGTATGGTTTTAGGCCGCTTTTAGCAATATTTCAGCAATATCACGGCGGAGGACACCAGAAATGGGCTTCACACATTGTACCCGGGTCTTCGGCATGACGAGCGAACGCTGTAACCACTAGGCTACCCAACCGCCCCAGTTACAATACTACGTCACCTTGATGCTGTTAATGCAGTTTGTGACTGAACATGGACGTACATGTGTACATGTATATTTTGTGTATGTCGGTCTTATTTGTATTCATTTCCTTGTCTATTGATTCGTCAGATCCAGATGAAGCATATGAGCTGATGCAGTGTCTGACAGTGCAAACTTTGTAAGTGTCGACATTGGACTATGATGATATTACGTTGCTAGTATGTAGACATTGTTTATGATGAGACGTAGACCATTTATGTAATATAGTATATTACAAGTAAAATAGTAACACTGTTCCCCCGTGGGGATTCTGGTTAGAGTGGGTCACCAAGAATGTAGGCTGCTCGTACGACTAAATAAATCGGGTGGTCAGGCTCAGTGACTGGGTTGATTTGGTACCCCGACGACATGGATCGTTGCTCATAGTATCAACCACAGGATTGTCGGGTCCAAAATCGGTTATCTAAAGACGTTAAAGCGTTAAACAATACCCCCCCCCCCCCCCCCCCCACACACACACACACACACACATTATTCATGCTCAAGGATAGCACAGGGTGAATGGGTGAGACATTATTGAGTTGAGTTTAACGCCGTTTTTGACAACATTTCGATCATGTCAGATAAATATGTGTGTCAGTGGACCCTAAAAACCATATCCAGGCAGGTATAGACAGAATTATCTTTTTCTTGTCTCCAGCAAACGTCTGAATACATCATCATCATCATCATCATCATCATCATCATCATCATCATCATCATCATCATCATCATAATATAAATAATAATAATTACCTGTGAATGACTGGAACAGGATGACCAGTATTACAGTGCTATATATCATGGCTGGGCGGAAGGAGAACATCGCGTCATACATCGCATAAAGAGTGTAGACTGACGTTACTTTGTGCGCGTTGTCTGCTCAACATGCACCTTTATCTTCCGCTTATAATACATAAGTACTTTGTTTAATGGACAATAATCTGCGCAGTTGACGAATCAGGAAGCTATCTCGTATCTCGCTATCTTGAACCTTGTATTGAATTGAATATGTCGTCATCGTGACTGAGGCATTTTGAAAAAAACGTTTTCCTTTGCAGGTCGACATCCACGCTTGCCATTACATGGAAATCAGTTGAGGTTAAGGCAATACGTATTATGTCATGTCCTTGTACAGAGTATAGTCTGTATGTTTTAAATAACATTATTTTGTGTTGTTTCGACCTCGGCGGCTTACAACGACATCAACATAAACAACATCATACATGTTTACAGAAAGAATTGGTCTTTAGCTGCCCATGCTTGTCGTAAGAGGCGACTAACTTGGTTGATGCATATAATCGTATCCGCATTGCGTAGACCGACGCTCATGAAGTCAATCACAGGCTTATCTGCTATTTCTGACTTGCTATTTCTGGAATATTGCTCAATACGGCGTCAATCATACTCTCTCACTATTCCTGATAACACCTCGTTTTATTGGAACGTCAAGCCTTTCCAGTGTCTGATTTCCATAATATACTTAGATGTGTTTAGTTAAATGCCGCACCAGCAGATATGTGTATGTGCAATCGATAACTCTGAGTGCTCATGTATACACAAGGTACATTTATGTGTATCACTATTGACAAACACTATCTACATCCGTTCAATATCCAAAGATATTATTGTATGTATGATATTAAAAATTTGTAATTATTCGCTACCTCGAACAAAAGTTGTTATTTCAAATGTAATTTTGCATTTATGAATAAAATTTCTATTTCACAATTCACTGTTTCCTTATCACGTGTGCTTGTATTTCAAGGAAATAATGAAAGATTACGTTTGTAGCGCAACACGGATTCCCTGAGAGATAAGACAATGATCATCTCTTGGTCCAGGCATGTTGTCGTGTTGTGGCTGATCTGTGTGAGTATAGCATCATTGTGCAGCAGTGTGGCCTGGAGCTGTAGCACGGCTGCCTGGTGATGGAGCTGCTCCCCCGGGCTCAAGGAGGTGTCGTCCACCCTGAACAGTTCCGGTTCTCTGTGGAGGAGGGTCCTCTCTTGAAGTCGAAGTGAACTCTCGGCGTTGTTCTTCACCAGTTGCTTCTGGAGGTCCTGCAGGAGACTCATCTGGTCTTCAATGAAGTCCAGTTGGCGTTGGAGTAAATTGAGTCTTGTATCCCCGGTATTCGTGATCAGCTGCTTTGCTGTGGCTACCATCATGTTTTGTTCATTCAGCAGCAAGGCCTGGTCGGTGTTTGTGAGAGTCTGGATGGCGTGTAAATTTAATTGTTTGGTTTGAAGATTTGAAGGGTAAATATGGACTATACGTCTGATGTTGAGAAGTATATCGTTTTCTATAAGAAGTGACTCACTCTCATGTGTGTTGAAGTGAATGCATGCTTCGTTTTGATCTGTAAGTGTAATCGTTGAGTCTAAGATTTGTTCTACTAATAATTTTAATGTCCCAGTAGTTGATTGAGGATAAGGTGAAGATGTTGTATACGTCTTTCCCAGGAGTGTTGTTGTGTATGTCGTGTTTAGAGGTGTTGCTGTATCATGTGTAGTGGTGAGTACCGATGTTTGATCAGGCACACCTCTGACTGTGGACATCTCATGAATGCTCGTGAATTTCCTGCCTGAAAGGGGAAAATACTGAGCCGTAAGTAATCGTCCTTACAATGTATCCATTTGGTGATCGCTTAATTCTGATTGTGGATCAATACATCAGTACAAAATTCCATTCCAGTGTTTCTCAAAGAACACAATATACAAAGCATTGAACAAACCAGTTAAAGCTAAATGGATACTCAATTGATCAGATATGCTGGAATTCGTTGACACCAGAAACAACAATCCAGTTTTAAGTCTATGCTTAATGCTTAAGTTATATATAGTTAATTAACATTTTAACGCTTTGGGAAGAGCAAGTTTTAATGCATAGCGACATACAATGAACAGACAACAGATCACAATATAAAATGATATAACTTTGTAATGTAACACATATTTATGATCACATACTTTACTTCCGGGGTATGCATGGTAAAATCAATCATATATGAAGTTCGTTAAATCAGTGTGACATACACAATAGAGCACGATTCATTTTATTAGTCATAATGATAATTCGATGGGTCATGTACAGCGCTAAATGTTGATATGATTCCATGAACAAAGTATGTTGTTTCTATCTGACACAAAGTCAACTATGATCAACTATGTATTACAGAAATCCTACACACTGGCATCTCATTGATATGAAATACTAACACACATAAGTGACTTTCAGAAGGCAAGTTGAATGGATTATGGTCAATTTCATGGCATTTATAACGTCAGGACAGTGGTTTAGGGGCCACCAAAGTCATTCCCGCTTTCTAACACACCGACAAGGGATAATCTTGCAAGGGAATATTCAAAGATTTTACGGGGGAAATCTGAAATGTATTTAATCTCAAATATATATCACCAGACGCCCCGGAATGAAAATTAGAGCCTAGTCCCCTCATATGGATACCGATCTCCCCCGACATGTCTAAACTGCACGTAGCAATCTATCACAGTTGGGTGTTTACGTGGAACGTATTGCCACATAGGAATACCGATCTCCACCGACATGTCTAAACTGTACGTAGCAATCTATCACAGTTGGGTGTTCACGTGGAACGTATTGCCACATAGGAATACCGATCTCCACCGACAAGTCGACATTGTACGTAGCAATCTATGACAGTTTGGTGTTCACGTTAAACATTCACATGCCCCTTGAAAATAAATTAAAATGATTATTGATGCAGATTGATGCAACGGATAGGTGTAGTTATATAGATTTCTTCTTTCAACTCTTGAGAATGTTTTATTAGATGTATTGAAATGCGGTACAATGTTTTTAGCTTGTATCGTGGTTTTCGATTATATTTTGTATAAACGAAAAGAGGGTGTAATTACTATTAATAGCACGACTTGTATATTTACATGTCTGTTGAATACAATTCATATATTAATATAGTTGAATTGCATGTTGGTTGGTATTCAAATAGAAATGTATATGAGTGAGTGAGTTGGGTTTAACGCCGCTTTAACAGTATTACAGTTATATCGCGGCGTGGCAGCTTACTGTGGGGGGAAAGCCCGAAGTGATGCAGGTCTCAGACGTTTACCACTTCGGTGAAACCCTCGAGCACGGGTATGGTGCTGACAAACCTAGAAACATGATCGGGGCGAACTGGGATTCGAACCCACAATCATAGGTTTCTGGCGCGTCCAAGGGACGCAACTCTGCACAGCGAATCGCGGCGCCTTAGACGACTGGGCCACCCGTGCCCCCGAAATGTATATGAACTGTGTAATGTGATGTCACAGATGCTATGCTACTATGTCAACACGGCAGAGCGTTGTCATGTCAATGGTACAAAGGTAATATGTTGAAATATGAGCGAAAGAATCCTTTCCACATACATTAGAAATCTCAGATGTACGATTCAGACTGTATCTTGGGCATGTGCTTATGAATCACTATCAAATAGTGATGACACCAGGTGTTCTCGAAAAGGTGAACGTATGCTGCCCTACCGATAGCACCCGTCACAAACACATGCAAAAGCAGGTCAAATGTTTATCTGAATAACACAGGGGAACATATATGGTACATGTCAAAATGAGGAATTGCGTCGGACATAATTTTTATCACTAATGCGTCAAATTTGGAAATGTCCTCGACATGTCTACCACAAAGTGTTTGAAAGTTACTGAGACCTTGTACGGTGAACCATGCTGATGGCCATGTCTACGGTATCGTGCCAACAGGCTTAAGTAAGTAAAACTGCAATACAACGGTTCAAAACAAACATGTTATGTCACTATCAACAATCAAATTCGTTCATAACATTCTGTGTGTCAGTAACGCACGAAATGCATCTGAATAATTCCCTCGCATTAAATCACTATGAGCATATACAATTGCACTCAATGGCATAATTATTCCATTAGAATATCCATCGGCACTGGTTTACAATCTAATGTCAATGAATTCACCATTTATTTGGTCCTCGCTAACGATTTCACCATGTATTTGGTCCTCGCCAACGAATTCATCATGTATTTGGTCCTCGCCACCCTCCCTGCTGTTTAAAGAAATGTCTTTAAACTCGACAGAAGTACCCCTGGTCGACCCGTCGTTATGGATGTTATCCTCCAGATAGGCCGGTGTGTTCATCGTTGTCTTCCTCCTCTTCCATAAGAATAAACTCAAGCTCAGGATCACAACAGCAGCTGCAGGTATTATAGTAGCAAGAATAATCACTTTCCTTTTCTTAGAAAAGAATTCGTTGTTACCTTGACCCGACGTCTGTGTGGTATGGACTGTGGAATTGGTGGAGGTTGCAGATGTACTGCTCTTGCCGCCCCCGCGATCTGAAGTGTGTGTTGGGGTTAGGCCACTTCCATTCTCAGATGTTTGTGGCCTGTTGACTGAGGATCTGGTAGGTGTTGCATGGATTTCGTTACCGGTTCTTCCTTGATCGAATGTGCTCACTTCAATCGTGGATCGCGAAGCATTTTGAATTTCAGTTGGTTTGCGTGTAGTTAGTTTAGGTGTAGTGGGTTTGTGTGTAGTTGGTTTAGGTGTAGTGGGTTTGTGCGTAATTGGTTTAGGTGTAGTGGGTTTGTGTGTAGTTGGTTTAGGTGCAGTGGGTTTGTACATAGTTGGTTTGTGTGTAGTTGGATTAGGTGTAGTGAGTTTGTGTATAGTTGGTTTAGGTGTAGTGGGTTTGTGCGTAGTTGGTTTAGGTGTAGTGGGTTTGTGTGTAGTTGGTTTAGGTGTAGTGGGTTTGGGTGTAGTTGGTTTAGGTGTAGTTGGTTTGTGCGTAGTTGGTTTAGGTGTTGTGGGTTTGTGTGTAGTAGAATATTCATCGGCACTGGTTTACAATTTAATGTCAACGAATTTACCATGTATTTGGTCCTCGCCATCCCCCCTGCTGTCTAAAGAAATGTCTGTAAACTCGACAGAAGTACCCCTGGTCGACCCGCCGTTATGGATGTTATCCTCCAGATAGGCCGGTGTGTTCATCGTTGTATTCCTCCTCTTCCATAAGAATAAACTCAAGCTCAGGATCACAACAGCAGCTGCAGGTATTATAGTAGCAAGAATAATCACTTTCCTTTTCTTAGAAAAGAATTCGTTGTTACCTTGACCCGACGTCTGTTTGGTATGGACTGTGGAATTGGTGGAGGTTGCAGATGTACTGCTCTTGCCGCCCCCGCGATCTGAAGTGTGTGTTGGGGTTAGGCCACTTCCATTCTCAGATGTTTGTGGCCTGTTGACTGAGGATCTGGTAGGTGTTGCATGGATTTCGTTACCGGTTCTTCCTTGATCGAATGTGCTCACTTCAATCGTGGATCGCGAAGCATTTTGAATTTCAGTTGGTTTGCGTGTAGTTAGTTTAGGTGTAGTGGGTTTGTGTGTAGTTGGTTTAGGTGTAGTGGGTTTGTGCGTAATTGGTTTAGGTGTAGTGGGTTTGTGTGTAGTTGGTTTAGGTGTAGTGGGTTTGTACATAGTTGGTTTGTGTGTAGTTGGTTTAGGTGTAGTGAGTTTGTGTATAGTTGGTTTAGGTGTAGTGTGTTTGTGCGTAGTTGGTTTAGGTGTAGTGGGTTTGTGTGTAGTTGGTTTAGGTGTAGTGGGTTTGTGTGTAGTTGGTTTAGGTGTAGTTGGTTTGTGCCTAGTTGGTTTAGGTGTTGTGGGTTTGTGTGTAGTAGAATATTCATCGGCACTGGTTTACAATTTAATGTCAACGAATTTACCATGTATTTGGTCCTCGCCATCCCCCCTGCTGTCTAAAGAAATGTCTGTAAACTCGACAGAAGTACCCCTGGTCGACCCGTCGTTATGGATGTTATCCTCCAGATAGGCCGGTGTGTTCATCGTTGTCTTCCTCCTCTTCCATAAGAATAAACTCAAGATCAGGATCACAACAGCAGCTGCAGGTATTATAGTAGCAAGAATAATCACTTTCCTTTTCTTAGAAAAGAATTCGTTGTTACCTTGACCCGACGTCTGTGTGGTATGGACTGTGGAATTGGTGGAGGTTGCAGATGTACTGCTCTTGCCGCCCCCGCGATCTGAAGTGTGTGTTGGGGTTAGGCCACTTCCATTCTCAGATGTTTGTGGCCTGTTGACTGAGGATCTGGTAGGTGTTGCATGGATTTCGTTACCGGTTCTTCCTTGATCGAATGTGCTCACTTCAATCGTGGATCGCGAAGCATTTTGAATTTCAGTTGGTTTGCGTGTAGTTAGTTTAGGTGTAGTGGGTTTGTGTGTAGTTGGTTTAGGTGTAGTGGGTTTGTGCGTAATTGGTTTAGGTGTAGTGGGTTTGTGTGTAGTTGGTTTAGGTGCAGTGGGTTTGTACATAGTTGGTTTGTGTGTAGTTGGTTTAGGTGTAGTGAGTTTGTGTATAGTTGGTTTAGGTGTAGTGGGTTTGTGCGTAGTTGGTTTAGGTGTAGTGGGTTTGTGTGTAGTTGGTTTAGGTGTAGTGGGTTTGGGTGTAGTTGGTTTAGGTGTAGTTGGTTTGTGCGTAGTTGGTTTAGGTGTTGTGGGTTTGTGTGTAGTAGAATATTCATCGGCACTGGTTTACAATTTAAT